CATTATACTAAAAATAGTAGTTACTTATATTTCGCCTACATAATTTACATCAAAATCATTAATGATAAACTTGTAAAGGTATATATTATAGTAATGAATTGCTATTTTTATCAAATAAGATATAAAATAATGATAAATTACCTATATAAACATGGTTGTTTTGCTCTAATCTTAAAAGTTCAGATTAAAGAAAAAACAAGAAATTTATTAAAATATTCAACATAATATTTAATGTTTAGCCTTAGCTATCCTCCAGAGCAGGGTTCTCCGATTTTTTTTTTACAGTGAGAGCCAAATATTTGATAAGTTTTAGCATGGCATATTTGAAGAAGAATAGAGATACTATAAGATTGAAAAAGAAAAGAACAATTTTGTTATTATATTTCACCACAACTTTATAATTTCACAATAACACATAGGTTTAAGGGTAACATATCTAGGATTTTAAGTTCTATAGTTCATGACTTCAAGATAACCACATTTGGAGTGAAACACTCACATGGCCGAGTAACGAACTAATGAGGGGACGTTGAGTTACCTAACTCGTCTACATTTATGATAACATCTAATAAGTGCCTATTTATTAGAACATATACTTTGAGACGGAACTCACGTTGATCTAGATTGGCTTCGGATATCTTTTCTCTGATCAGTCGGCACGCGTTGTACACCGATATGGTCGGATCGAATTGCATCGTTTTGGTGACATCTCGATCGACGATGGATATCCTCAGCGATAGCGTCGCCATCTGAAAGCGTAAAACGTGCACGGGCGCGATAAGTGTTTGATCTAAGACTCGCGCCCCAACCGATCACCCCGCGTGCACCCGATAACCGGGTAGGTACCCACCGTGTAGTCCTCCGGCGCAACGTACTGCTACCCAAAAGGGCAGGATGTGCTGAGAGCGTTCGGGCGGCGGTGGCGGCGGCGACGACGCGTTGGCAGGCACTGCGTGCGCGTTTGTGCGGGTGCGATCACGGGGACGGACGACGCAAACAATAAAATAGACAAAAATGTTTTATTTTATTGCAGGCCTAAAAGCCAACGGCTGCGGCGATGACGAATCGATCAGGAATCCGTCGTCGTCGACCGGACGGCGGGCTCGATGGCCGCCGTGGCCACCGCGCGCCCGTATTGTACCGACGACGACGCGGAAACGGAACATCTGTCGACGACGACGACGTCTTTGCGCGCCCAAAAATAGAACGCGTGGCCCCGGCCGACGGAGGCCGTCTTTTCAATAACACACGTTGCCGTCTTTTTATTATTATTATTATTATTATTGTTAATATTTTTTATCGGCTTGGCACGATAAATTTGCACGCGCAAACGATTACGCGGTTGAACAGTGAACACTAGCGCACTGCTGTCGCGAAGTATCGTCTCTACACGCGATATGAACAACCTTATGATGATTAAAATGTACTTGTATTTACTATTATTATTATTATTATTATTACGAATTCAATGATTTTTATCAAAAAATACCCACGTAGTACGTACACGATATGATATACTTTGTCAAATGCTGTAAATATCATAGGTGGGCAAGTCATGGAAAACAATCTGATAGTTAATGTAAATCAGGTAAACCTGAAAATTACAAAAGTAGTCGAACCACGAAAAAAAAACGGTTATCTCGAATGTGTTTTTTTTTTATTATTATCGAAGTTAGTCATTTTTTATTGTTTAATATCAGAAAACTACTATTTCAAGACTCCTGCCCTAGAGATTTAAATAATAAATGAAATATTACCTAGAGTCTGAAATCCCTACCAACGTGCTTGTATAGTTATTTATTAAATAACCCTACTAGGAATTGCAAAATAACGGCACCTACTTAATTTTTTATTAGAATCATAAGTCACAATCAATTGTTTCCAAATAAACTATTAATTAATAATTGGATACTGCAAATATCAAATAAAATGTCAATTAACTACAATTATTAACCTTCAGCAGTTGTTAAACTCAAACATAGCGAATTTAATTCTTTAAAACATTCTTCACGATTACATCTGATTATGCGAGTGATAACTTATACCAGAGTGTTTAAACATCTATAATACAAAACATTGTGTCAATTTTGTAACTTTAATTTTAGTGTTGGTTGTAAGTACAAAGAAATTAAAATCAATAAGTACCTAATGAAAAACAGTTAAATACTTAAACGTTCAAAACTACTGTGTGAATAAGAAGGCATTAAAAACTCGGTTTAAATAATACATATTACATAAAAACATAACTACAAGTGACTAAGTACTATTTTTAAACACCATATATTTCTAAGTGGGGCAAGGGGCCCACGTTCTATAGCGTGACTTAAACAAAATTATTATTATTATTGTTATACAAATGAAACTGATAAAATAATCTTCAGTATCGTGATAACTCAATAGGTCTAACTCTGTAGTCTGTAGTATCCAAACCGGCCGACCTCACCTAAGAATTTATGGGCAAGTTTTTTACCTCGGCATAACCATTATAACTTTATATACCTATTGCGCATATCGCGGAATATCCACTCTAAATACAGTGTATCGAAGTGTTTATAAAAACCTCATATATTTATACGAGGATAATCTGCTAAATCGAGACTTGATTTTTTACGAACAAATTGATGACAATGATCGATTATTCAAGTCAAATTTATGCAAACTCTATTAAATGACCGGCTCAATAGTAACTTGTAAAATTGTAGCATAAAAAGACTTGTAATTTATTTCATAAGTAATTAAATTAGGAAAAATTATATATAATATTATTATATATATAGCTTATTCCCTAAGTTCGAAATTATTATACGGTATTATATTACATGTTTACCTATACCTATTGATTTTTATAAGTGTATATAAATTCAAAAACGTATCTATACAGTTATAATATACATGTACAATAATTTACCTTTGAAATATGTGCTTATAAAAAGTTTGTTGTATTGGCATCATATAATATTATAGTATATTACTATACTTAATAAGTGCCTTAATTATTTGACTGGTATTAAATCGTTAAATACTTTCTAGACTAATTATTTTCCTATGCACAAACATACAATACGTATATACCTGCTTCAATAGCAACACCAGCAACAGTAACAACTAACAAATATGCTTACTATATACCAGTTTTCTTAATTCATAAATAATAATAGTTAAATGTTTCATTACATACCTAGCCCAATACCAAGATACAGAATTATTTGAGCTCTGAAGCAAATTTAATTTATCTGCATGCTCTTTTTAATATGCAGTTATTACTCTTATATACAATGTACCTATATAAAGAAATTATTTAAAAATACACGATTCTCAACTACCCTTGCACATAACCTGAATCCACAATTTAAGGTAAAAATGTTATATTTAAATTATTATTTGTTTGCAATGATTCAAACGATCAATCATAATTGATTAGGATATTAAAATAATTAATTAATATTTAATTAATATCTAAACCTCTATAATAACAATTATTATTTAATTTAAAACAACTATATTAAGATTTGGTTTACGTATTTAGAACTGGAAAAAATAGTGTCTACCTATTTTAGACTTATGAAATAAATAAGCATGCAGTGTAAGGTTACTCCGGTGTTTTGGCAAGCTCACAAGCAAAAAATAAATAGCATAATGCCGGAAACGGAACTTACAAATTTGCTTTGCAAAAATATTTCGTAATTTAACATAAAAATAAATATCTAATATTTTAAAACATTTATTTTATTAAAATTGTGATTACATTAAAAAAAAAAAAAATACTAGGATTAATTAAGTTTTTAATTTACAAAATAATTAAACTTATTGAATTGAAATATATTTCTTTACAAAGTTATATTTGACAACTATTTATTTTAGTTAGAAGTTTAAAACACTGGAATCTGTCTATTTCTGAAATATGTAAAATTTGTCAACGCATTGGTAATAAGATTACTTATATTAATAATTTTAATTTAAATTCCAATAAAATTAGGTGTTTGCTTTAAAGCTTAAGCCCTTGCCTATACATATTACATACCTCATATATTATAGGTATTTATTTAAATATCTATATTACCTAAATACTTATATTTTGTTATTATTATTATTATTATGATTAAATTAAATCGATATTTAATTTTTATGTAAAATTATGTAAATACAATCTTATTTCGAATAATATGTTGCAATTGTAACTGTTTATTTATTCCGAATTTCGAAACTCTGATGTATTTGACGCATTAATAATTAGTAAATATGTATCAAACTATTCTAACTTTTAATCACTATAGAAACAATTTGTTGCAATGTTATATCAATATCGTTATGTTTTATACCTAATTTAAAACAATTTCTAAAAAAAGTACAAAAAAAAAAAACGCCAAGATAAAATAAATCTGCTGTTTACAATTGTTATTACAGTGTGTACCTAGTGGCTAGTATAATACCTATATAATATATGAATAATGAATGTAGTATAGTATCTAAAGCATGTTAAAATTATTTTCTTTTGCTCAAACATAAACATGCAATAGATGTAAACATTAACACTACCTATTCGTGACCTTTAAATATTTTTATAAAAAATTTCATTATAATCGCACGTTATGGGTATGGCACTACTTATTTTTTTACCTACATGTTGCGTATCCATAGGTGCGGCAGTGTATTAGCTTAAATTCATAATGTATTTTAAACTGAAAAATAACTAGGTACCATGCTAATAGTACATATTATTATAATCTACATATTTGTAAAACTATTATCAGTCAAGACTGCAGTTATAAATATTTGTAATATCATTCAACCTGCAAAATATGATGTTCTTAAATTTTAAATAATATTAAAGACATAGGTAGCTCGTTTATAATAGTGAATAATTTATTCAAATTAAAAAAAAATTATATCCCTTGATCAGCTATGGTGTACAAAATTTTAAAAAAAAAAAGTGCGTGATTCACTCATCATTTTTTTTTTTTTTTAAATCATTTCCTATAATAAAATAAGTATTGTTATTGTTATGCAGCTATATGTTTTGGTTGCCATGAAATTCCATCTTTGGTGAACAATAATCTGTCACCGATTTTCTGACCAATCGCTTCATAAAATTCAATCACGTCGGGCATGAGTTTGTAAGCAACGCTGTAATTAAAAATATATATATATATATATATAAATAATACTTACATCAATCATCGTTATTTATTAGTTATAAGTTATTCTATGTGTATTCTTTTTATTATGTATATAAGTGTATATAATATTTAACGACATAATATAGCAATAACTTGAGTAAAATTATTTGGTTTTCTTGATTTTCATAACATTTATTATAGTTTTAAAAATAATTGGAGAATGATATGAAAATATATTTACAATATATGACATAGGTACATTATAACTATTAAGTTTTGTCAATGTTTGTAAGTTAATGGTATTAAACTATTAAACAATGCGACAAATTTTTATTTCTAAGTTCCGAGCTGATCAGTTTACTTATAGAACTAACTACAACGAATTAATTTTTCAAAGCTCTTGGATTGTTTTGAGCGCAAATTGAAAAACTTGTGTACGACTTTATCTACAATCATATTAAGGTTTGTACAAAATAGTACCATCCTTATAAGTTTCAGTCGTTGTATGTCCTTTAATCAATATTTTTGGCCATTGGCTAAAAACAACCGATAACAGTTTATTATCTAAACCTAGACCCTTTCAATTGACAAAATAATACAATTCTATATATTTTATAGAATGTAAAAGGGGGAATATAAAAATGTATGAGCATGACATGACCGGTCCTTATGTACGTTAACCTCGTCTCATCACTTTATTATCTTATTAAACGCAGAAACGTAGTGTGTAAATGAAGTCCGTATAGAAAGTATTAAATTTTAATGTATATTGTTTACGTAATTACGCATTAACATCGAATCAATAAGTACCCAAAAGCCATTTAGAAACACTTTAGATATTAACGACTGACGAGTGTCTCGCTTTAAAAATACGTATACATTAACCATAACATAATATGTATCTACGATGATACCTATTATAAACCTACATGTCTGCAGTGACAATTTACAGAGTTAACATTTATTAATTAAATAGAACTTAAGTATATCAAAATAAAACCATTCAACCATTTTGAAATCATAGTCATAAGGACTATCAAAGTATTAATACAACCTTATACATATAAGAATAATAATATAATATAAATAATATAATAATACGATGAATTATAAATGTGTGATATTGTAATTTGTAATTTCATATAACAAAATTTTTATTTACGTATATATACAACTATACTTTATATAATTCTACAAGGTACACTTATTTTTTCATTATGTTTATAATATTAAACTAATAATATTATTATTTTTATTAATTTGATTTAGGTAAAAATAAATGCATAACATTTTTATGTTAATATCATCAAAAATATTAAATATTAATATAATATTTACATTACTCATAAGTTATAATATCTAATAATAATTTATAGTACCTACCTACTTATTATAATATACTATTATAGTATTCCAGTATAATTATTGTTTTCTGTGTTTTTAATGGTTATTAATTATTATTATATCAAAAAATATTAATAAGAATTTAAGAATTATAAAAATAAAAATATATTTTTATTCCAATATCGTTTTTACTTTTTTAGCATAGTAAATTATTCTTTTACTTATTGACTTTTAATTTATTTTATTTTTCTAAATTACACTAAATACGATTACTCAAAATAAAATTTAACAGCTAACTTGTTGTTATAAGTATAAATAATAATTACTTAATATTATTAATATTTATAAATTATCACTAATTGAGAATTAATTTCAACCGCTATAGGTAGGGAATGATAATTAATAATTATTATTTTTCAAATATTTTAAACATTTAAGCTTATTAAATTTTTCACTGCTATATTTGTCTCTTGTTCATATTCATTACATAAGCATTCGAGAAATATAATAAAACATTAGTAAATTTGGAATAAATTCTATTTTTTCAATATGATTATAATATCTGGTTTTAGGTACAACAATGTGTATCTTTTATATATCTGAAAACAATTATTATACCAAATAAAATGCTATGATATTTAATATCGAGGGTAGTTTTTAGTAAAAATTGTGTTTTGTTTGGATTTTTAAAGTAAAACGTTAAAAAATGTAGTTCTAAACAAAAACAAAAAAATTGTGGTAAATTGGAATTTTTACGTAAAACTTGTGTTAATAGATCTAAAATTTAAATATAAAAATATTTTTTGTGCTATTAATATAGATATTTTAAATTATTGATTTTTTTCTGTCACTTAATAGTTTATGTAATACAATTTTGTTAATAAGTTAAAACACTTGAAAATATATTACACGTTTCCACAAAAGTCATTTCTATAAAAATTAAAAAATATCGAAAATACATAGGTAGTGACAATTTTTTTTTTTATAAATTATATATTTATACTAGGTAATGTATAAACAAATACATATAAATTATTATTATTATTATTTATACATGTTTTAAATATCAGAATAGTTAAATTTATTTTATTTTATTAATACCACTTTATATTTTTTATTTAATAAAAACTAAGAAGGTATATTTTTAAGGTACATGTAAAGTAACCTAACTTAAGTTAATAAATAGATAATAGCAATGTATAATGTTAGTAATTATTATTTATTGTATAATATGGAGTATTTTTTGTAAAAAATAATTTAATATATCCAAGGGTGATGACTAAAAAAATTGGTTGCTTCGCTGCTCAACTTCCTTACAACCAATTTTATTATATACTCCACATTCAATCAATTAAATTAAAAACAAAAAAACAGTAAGCTCTTATACTCGTATTTTATAGTTTATACTATTAGTTTCAAAATTAATTTTTATGGTTATCATTAATATAAATAAATTGTAGAATTTTTTATTTTATTCTTTAAAAAAAAAAATATTTATATCTACCTACTACAATATTTAGTTAAAAATTTAATTCATCGTTATGATATAAGTATTGTTTAAATATTTAAATTTTCCATTACCCAACCATGTTCAAGTTCAGTCTTTTCTTTACAATCTTCCTCTATGTTCTATGGCTAATCTATGTTCATAGTTATGCACTCTTCCAGTAGACGTTTTATTAATTATTCTATATATAGTTGATTTATTTTAAACATATAAGTACTTACACGTGGTCGGGCTTAGGAAGCTGGACATTGTACTTGGTCACTTTTTCGAATAACTGATCGTGGTCGCGCTTTAATTGCTCCCACTCTACTACCTTTCCCTGCTCACAGATCTGCGCACGAATTTTACAAAACAGCGGTTCAATGTCGTACAGCTCTTTCATATTATCCGTGGTCAGCTTTTTAACGGTGCCTTCGATACGCACCTGCCTGGTCTGGGGCAAGCTGTCTGACGTTTGGCCCAACCACAAAAACACCATGGAAGCCTGGGGGTTTTCCGCCTATACACACAAACATTTTGGCATAATTGCATAATATTTAAAACAAATGGAATTTATGAACTTAAAATAAAGTAGATATTTAAAATATAACATGTTGAAATCGATATTGTAATGTAATATTATCCCCATAATATATAGGTAACATGTATTATGTAAACATTATATATACATATATATATAATAATATAGGATTTTTTTTATAAATTATGTTTTTATTGACACTTCTAAACATTTTTTAATTTTTATTTTATGAATTTGTTTCAAAAACACTTCCAAGTATCTCCTTATACGCTAGTATACTATATGATTGTATATTATATTATGTGTATAATTCTACTATTTTATTTAAATGACGAATACGAAAAACGTGATAATAATATATGTACTTAACATAACCAATAGTTCTTCTTACTTTTAATGTCAGTAGGCACTTTCATTTGTATTATAATCCCAAATGTCTCATAAATAATAAAAATAATTCCTCTTCTCCTCGTCATATTTAACTTAATATATTATGAATTATTTTATTGATAATTTAATATGTAAAAAGAAAATAAAGAAAATTATACTCATGTAACTTTTTTAAATGCTTAGTATGATTTCTGACATTGATCTTGTTTTATTTATTATTTTAGTATTTTATTTTATTTTAAATTATGATAAACGAGTAATTTTGTTTATTGAACAACTAAGTTTTCATTCATGAAATGATAATTTTATTTTTATACATAAAAAAAAAAGATTTATGCACGAGTCATTTATGTGTTAATGAAAAGCAGAATCATTAATTGTAGGCCTTCTAAAAAGAGATAGCAAGTCGTAGGTTAAAGTCTCTTGACCTAACCTATAGATAAATTATAATAAATCATTATTGATAATTATAATAGACTAAAAAATAGGGAACGATAAAATTAAATGATGATATATGCTTCAAAACTGATAAATTTCCATCAGTACTAAATCACCATTGTTAATATGATATATTTAATATTTATATTATCTATGTATATAACTGTGTAAATTATTGTATTATACAAAACGTCAACATAACTAAATATTAACTATTTTATACTTATAAAATATAGATAAATAATAAGGTTATTTAATTTTTTTTACAATTTTAATTTAATCCTTTGTAACAAACTAAAAATATTTTTCATTTTCATTTGAAACAGCTTTAGTCAGTATTTATTTATTTTATTAAATATTGTAAATCATACCTACTTTACCTGTATTTTACATTACGTACTAACATATTTTCTAGAAACATTTTGAAACTTAAACTCATATTACATAATTTGGTATTTCTTTCCATTACATAACATAATTTAAGTTTAAGTATTAGTATCAATAAATATTATAAATGATTATTTATTATTAAAATAAAACAGTTAAACTATAGGTACTTAATACCTATATTAAACGTTTCTCTGGCATGCGATTGTTTAAAACATTTATTATTTTTATTTTATTTTAAATTCATGGTGTAAATTGTATCCTTATATTTCCTTATGACTATAAATTTAATAATTTTCTTACTAACTTATCAATTTGTGAGAAAAAAACTACGCGTGTGGTGTATAATACATTATATTTGATATTAAATTACCAAATCATTTGATTTTCTACTTCTTCCATCAGTCATCATCACAAACCCATCTTCATCCAAGCGTCGTAATATTAAACTACGGCAAGATACCTTTCCGGTGCTGAAACCCAAGATGAAAATAAATTATTATTACTCATTGTAAGACCACCGTGCATATTTCGTATTAAAATATTTATTTTAGCAATTCAGTAATTATTTTGAATCTTAGTTAAAATTTTAAACTAAATTAACTATATCTTATTTATTTTATCACGTTTTGGAAATATTATTATCCTAGACGAAAATCAAGAACCTATTTGATATTTCAAAAATTATAAATTAACTATGCTAAACATAATTTAGTATTTGTCGTTAAATTTGTAAATTTGTTATAATAATACTTAAAATTTAGATAAATAACAGATATTATTACAATAAAATCGGTCTCAACAAAACTATAGGTACTACAGAATCATCAAAGTCTTCAATTTTAAAACAGGTGTATAAAAAGTTCTTAACTCAAAAGTAATATGAGGTAAGTTAATTTTACATTTTCAAAGGTTAAGTAAATTTAAAAAATAAATATCATCTATTGGTGTATTATTAGCACTTAACATAATATCACGGATACTTACGAAATACTTATATTCATATAAGAAATACTCATGGTTATGCGAAAATATACGTATACTTATAATATTTATAACTCATGATTTTTTTTTCGTATTTAAATATATAAATATAATATACTATATTTATCAGTATGGCTCACAATTTTTCACTTCACTGTACACAACTGATAACAATTTCAATTTTTTTTATTACTTATTTAATTATTTTATTATACACGTTACACATATATTAGTTTTTTTGGTTTTAGTTTTTACAATAATTTTTATAAAACAAATTCTTTTTTATTTTAATTACTTAAATTATTTTCCACTGGTGTTTTAAAATATTTTAACTAAAAATACATTTAAAGTGTCATAACTTAATTATGAAAAAAAATCAAACAAAAATACAGCAGAGATTGGGTTTTGAATCTTTGCTTTACTTGATGAAAGTAGTAGTTCTAAATCATCTTATATCGTATCATATTCTAGGGAGATGTTTTTCAAACTTCTTTGACAGTTGTTGGTAGTTTTATCTCGTTTTTCGAGAAACTATAACATGGAAAATTGGTTTCTAGTTACTTTTTTCAATCTATAGTCCTAAACCCAAAATTGGTCAAATAAAACCTTTTTCAACCTTAAAATAGGTACATCGATTTTAGAGTTACAGTTGGAAATACATGTTATGATTTGGTATAATAAATTTATAAATTTTTGTCATCTCTTTACATAAAAATATAGATGAATCCATAAAAAATTACTTAATACGAATTTTTGAGCTTTTGGAAAAATTAAAAAATATCAATTTATTTTCAAATTTTAAATAATTACAACTTAATAAATTTTATAAATAGATAACCAAAAACTAAATAGTGAAAAATCCATACCTCAAAAAAATAAATAGGGTTCACTATTCAAAAAAATAAAACAAGTTGTAGTGTTATAGCTAGTATTAAAATATGACTATATGCTGTAAAATTGCTAAAATTCACGAACTATACAGAGTGGATAATTATTAACACAAGGTAAATGTAATTTCCCAGCGCTACTGTGCTCATTTGTTTTGTAAAATGGCCAATTTCTAAAATTAACATTTTTAATTTTAGTTACTACTGGAACAAACTTAACAAATCAGATTTAAATCCATTCATTATAAAATTAAAACCAAAATGTTAACATTAAATTAACGTTAAATTAAGTTTGGTTGCCTTTTTGTTAAGTTGCGTAGATGAGACAGTTGTTATAGTTATGGTTTTTAGCAGTTTTTTCGGTTTTATTAGATAAAAATCATAACAAATAATAATTAATAATATAAATATTAAATTATACCAATATGGCAATTTAACAATATATCAGTTTTTTTCAATGTATTAATTATTATAGTTATGCTACACAACTAAAAAAAATTGTAAAGATATTTTTCCGAAACGTGTTCATAAAAAATAAATAACACCGTCATACTATCACAATATTTTACAATAATTATTTACTTTATCTTAAAATACTCGTGTTATAGATTATACAATACTAACGCAGTTTAATAGTTTTACTTACCAAACATCGGTGACCTAAGTTACAAACATGTTTTTAAACATTTTATATAATATTATTGTATTCTGTTTTCTAAATATCTAAAATTTTAAACTATAATGAATAGAAAATAATATTTTTAAATATATTATGCTATCTTACTTTGAAACGGTGGCCAAGCTAAATGCTTTAGCAGAAGTCACAGATGCATTAGCTACCATATGTTCGTTGTACCATTTACTAAAAATTTCAATAGGATTCTTCGATGATATATTTATTTTATGTAGACCACTATGTTCATGCAAAGATTCGACCTGTAAACAAATAATTACAATTTTATATGTCATTATCATTTTACGTTAACGAAAGTACCAACAATTGTTTATCTATAGCTAGTTTAATATGTAATTTTTATACCTACCTAAAATTATTTTAAAGTAATATATTTTGTAAACTATATTAGGTAAAAGTTTTTTATTTGTGTAACGTACGTAACGATATAATATAAGTAGTAGAAAAAAAACAATAATACATGATAAATGTTCTTCGAAATTAAACATTTATTATTTGAAAAATAAAATAAATTGTTTTAAGTTCATTACGTAAATACGAGTATACCACGTATTATAATTTCACTACAAAATCAGTTAATAATCATGATTATGAAAAATTTTCTAACCAACACAAATTACTTTAAACAAAATATAGTTGTCTCTCGTAAATGGTAGGTTTAAAGTAACTTTATATATTAATGAATCATCAAAGATCATTCACAGAAACGATAAAGAATATACGAAAAAACTTAGTTGTCAAGGAAAATAAATTATTATTAATGAAGATGAATATTTTATCTAGTATATAATACTTGTAGTGATTACTGAATATAGACGAGATCCATATTTAGTAAAATATTAGTTAACGATCGTGACAGGAAGTTTTTACATTCATAATAGTTCTATGATTTATTTATTCTTATTTCTCTTAAACCTTTTATTTATATTTTGTAAACAATATGTACAATAATAAAAGCTTATAATATATTTTCGTTGATATATTAATTATATTTTATTCCAGTAGTGCTTTTGTGTATTAATATCGTCATAAATATATTTAAAAATGAATAACACTTAATATTATAATTACATAATACGTACCTACCTAATCTATCTATGGCTATGGATTAATTTATAATGCTTGTTATGTAATACGTAATATAATTTATAAGCAATTTACAATCAATATTTATCTCAAGTTTTTAAATGTTAAAAAATAATAAAGAGAAAATTACCATTTACAGTGAACTTAGTTAATATTGCATAAAAAAATGTATGTTAGAAAAACTACTTAATACCAACTTAAATAGTAAGGTAGGTAAATATACATGTATAACAGTTTTTCTTATTTTTTTATTTGATGTTTTAATAATTTATTTAAGTTTATAGACTTAAGATCAGTTTTTCTCAACCCGAGGGTCATCAACTAATTATTAAGGGTCGCTATCATATGATTTGAATCAATTCAAAAAATTAAAAAATTTTAATTATAAGATAAAGTAGTAATATAATAAAATCAATAAATATTACAATATTACATAATAAAAATATTAAAAATACTCATTATTTTTTTTTAACCTCATATTTGTATAAAAATGAATTTTTCACAGTAATTTCAATTAAAATAAAACTAGAAGCCCACTGAAAATCACAACAACTATGAGAATTATAATTATAGATTAACAAGATATTAAACCAAAGGTTGACGAAATAATCTCAATAACCAATCCATTAAGAACCTCGATTTAAAAATAATATTTAAATTAAAATAAAATATTATGGTATAGCAACAATAACAAATAATTTTTTTTTTAATTAAAAATAATTGTATTTATTATATATATTTTATGTTTTTTGTATCGCACTTCTATGCGTGTATATAAATAAAATATATGTTGAGGTCATTAAAAATTGAAATTCAAAATGAAGTCGTTATAAAAGATTGTAAAATACTGCTTTAGAAGATAAACACATTTAAATAATTTTTAAGAAAATGTGTTTTTAATCAAAGTTTAAATTTAAATTTATAATTATTATTTCAGTATTATATTATTATACAACTATACGTAAGCTTAATACTTCGTCCTTATTTACCTACATAGGTACTAACTTTATTTTTTTACTTTAAATAATCTTTTAACAACAGTTTACCAAAAAATATTGATTAAACTCTACGCCCATACTTAAATTATTCCAATTGACTTGCTGACCCAATTTATGAATTATGGCAATCGACACTATATCGAGGTAAATATAATATACTATTTTTAACGTTTAACAGTGAGTGTTTACCAACGACTGTACATTGTTTTGTCCAATTTTAGCTTGTTCGTTTGAATCGTGCTCACATAATTCGCAAAAAAATTTTAAAATTCCATTTTTTGAGCTTAAGCACTTAAGTTCTTCAGCGGACAACTTAGAACATTTTCTGTGAACGCACATTGAACAACCGTCACATTTTACTGGACAATCGACATAGGTAAATCGATAATTACAAACGACACAAGAAGAAATAACCGGCATTTTTACTTATATCAAACAATATAATAAATTTTACCGAAATAACAAAAACCTTTAATTTTATAGTAATGATTTAATGACAACAATTAACAAATTACTAGTAAATTTAATATCTACCTACCTACTGCATGTGCAATATGAAATAAACTGAAAAAATAGCAGAGCGATTAGAAGACCAATAAAGATACCTACCATTCTATATAAAACATGTAAGTGTTTTTTCGGGAAACGAGGGTGAAAACTTGATAACCAAATATATCAAATATCTAATGTAACATTATATTTTGAAACAGTACCTATTATAAACTATATATATATCATAAAGATATATATATCATACATTGATGTAAATATTTAACTATACATAATATGGTTTTTTTAACATAAGAGTATAATTTTATAAATATATTATTATATAACGCGTATAAATTTACTTTAAATAAAAAAAGTTTGCCCATTAATTTAAAATCGAAACATGGAAAAGCTACATTAACATGTTTTAACAATCAAGTATGTACTGAAAACGTCAATGTTTTTTACTTTTTTTTTTTTTCAAAAACTAAATGTATCTACCTACTGAAGGTTTATTAAAATTGCAGCTCGTTTAAAGTATAAATAGCTAAGTACTTTATAATTGATATAATTATTGTGGATCTGCGTCCTGTCTATAAGCGAAAGAGGCCTTGAATTGGAGTTTTTTTTTAAATAATAGACATTTAGAAAGACCTTATAACTATGATATGCTAAATTGTATATTTATTACTTAATAATATTATGTAGTTAATAATACATAGATAATTCTAATAAGACTTTGAAGAGTTTAATTGAATATTATACGCTAAAAATATACTCCTAAATATAATCCCAATAAAGCATTTAAACTAGATACATCTGAAAAAATTATTTTTAAGAGATTTCACAAAACTTGCTATTAACACTGCTGAACAGATTCAATTAATTACTTACTGACTACTGTTTACTATATTTACCTATGTATGTTTTAATTTATATGTTGTGTAATATTATGTTTTGTCAATGGTAATGGTAATTATACAAATTATAGAAAATGCAATGTATGTTTTTATGTATTAAAATATTTGCTACATATTTGATATTTACATGCCTTTAAATTATCTTTAAATTTAAATTTATACGTAAGAACTTAAAAAATGTATCCGTTAAAAGATAGTTAGTCAACATAATATTCAATAGGTACTACATATTTTCTCAGTTAGAAATCTTACTTCAGCTGGTCGTAACGAAGAAAGACTTCGAGTGCTTAGCGTTGCATATGACGTGACCAAACGGCCAACAAAAGGATGCAATGACTTTACATTCAACTAGAACACGTAAAAGCAAAAACTTATTGAACATAATATTAAAGTAAATACAAAAATTTTGGAACATATTAATAGTCACTATTAAATAATTAATTACGCAGACTTAAAGGATAATTTATCGATATTACCTACTTTATAGCTTACCATAGTGTTGTATTTTATTTTTCGGTAAAGAATCAAAGTAATCTGTAAAAATTATATTTATTTTAAGACTTTATGGAAGTTAAGACACCGAAATAAGCTTTTATCGCCACTACGGTGGACACTTGAATGTGGTGGTATATTACTGTAATGAGCACCTGGTAAAATATTTAATCAATAAAATTATGTATCTAATTAAATTAAAAAATCTAGTTCAATATTACAATTGAAAATAAGTGCGATACGGTAGATTGTATTCCTGTACACCTCCAGTTTGTTTGGCTTCTCCAGTAAAAAAAATATATATTATTATGTAATTTATTCTACGTTACGTTAGAAGGCTATTGTTTTATTTTTTCTTTAAAGCCTATATAATCGCAAATTTCGAAATCGGTATGTCATGCATTAAGATCGACCGTAAATATGATACCTAAAGTTACTTATACATACCTAAACCTAACGCGTACACAACCACATGTCTATAATTCCTGCAACTCGACAATTTAAATAAACTCGTTCATTAATATTGTTAAATTGATATTTCACTTAAAAAAATTCGATTTATTATGTAACTGTTGTATCATTAGGTTAAAAATAATTGTTCTCCATTTCATAATATTAATGTATTAATAATATATACTCGAAATTTATATTTTTAATATTATAGCCCTCACAAATATCTTTATACATAATTATACTTGGTAGGGGTATATTATTATTATTATTAAAGGTATTTAAAATAACTCTAAACACCAAAAACATTCAAACATTTTTGCCTATACACATTGCCAATGTCCCTTGGTACGTTACCAATATCTTTTTGCAAAACGATGTAAAAATCTCTACCATCATAAGGTTTCATTTAACAGCCACCACGTTCTACTCACTCCTCCATACCGAACAGTTCCATATTCCATCAGCTTCATTTTGTTGAACTTCCAGATAAACAAGTCAAACTCATCAAATGATCAAGAGATCTTTTTATTACATAATACGTATATCTACATCTCTATTTTTAATGTGGTTACCTACTCATATTCATGCCTTTCTAATACATGTAACACCTTCACATTTTAAAATAACTCATTTTTATACATTATTTTAGATTGTAAATAACTTAAAAAATTATAATAAACAACTTAAAACAAAAATTACTCTATAGTCCACCTAAAGAAAAATACCAATATTATGGTGTACCTACATTATATTACGTATAATATTATATCAATATACTTATTATAATAAAAGCCAATTTCATAATAGTAATATTGTTGGTAAATATAACAATATGCGAACAAATCATAAATATTCAATAAAATTAATTGGTTTACATAATAATAATAATCTAGACACAACAGCGTTGTATATTTTATTCTTATTAATAAAAATCACACAATAAGCATGTATTACAGACTTAAAAGTAAATGTTAAGGTTACACAAATAAAAACGTTGGCATTTAAAAAAATAAGTAGGTACCTCTATTCGTTAAATTGTTCCGTACGAAACACGTATACGTTAGTCGTCTTCATTAATATTAAACACCCATTTCTCAATACCTTTATAATATATATGTATGTTGTATATGTGTAGGTAATTATCCATTAATTACCGATAAGCTTCGTGTTTTACCTATACTCATGTCAAATACGTGTTTTTTAGACTTGCAAAACTAAAATTAAAATATTTTATAACTGTACATGTTTTAATTTCACGGCCATTGATTATATTATTTTTATTCTTTATATATAAATTATAATAATAATGATAATATTGTTCAGGTTCTATATAAAATATAAATAAATCGCTGCGGTTATGCCTTTTGTATATCTATAAAAAAAATAATTCCTCTGTAGTTATTATATTCAACTGATTAATATACAGTAAACAGAGGCATATTTACGATTTTGACGCCCTAGGTGCAAAAATATATTGGTATCCTTTTTCCCCCTTAAAAAAAAACTAAACCCTAAAAAATCGTTTAAGCCTTTCTTAATTTAGACAATTTTTTTTTTACTTGTCATTAAAAATGATACACCAAAATATTTATAATTTTCCTTATTGATATAATATAAAATAAAATAATTAGTAAACACGAAACAGCAAAATAAATTTTACCATAGGCTTAATAGATATTTTTATTTGATAGTCATATGGGTTTAATAATGTATATTATTAATTATTATTATGTGTTGTGGATTATGGAAGTATAATATTGGTTGATAAATTATAATTAATTTACTCGGAACAATGAGCATTGGAGCTGTTTTGTGTTATATGACTATCATTATATAGCCTATGATCTAGTAAAATAAATATAAATTATATTATTAGCTGTTATTTAAAAAAAAATATTATGAGATACCTTAACTTAGAACTTTCAGGAGTATATTTTTCATGTTTTCACTATATATATTATATATAATATAAATTATACTTATTTCATTATTATAATCATTCTTACTTGTCTCTTTTGATTATTTTGGAACATTTTTAAAATAATCATACAACTTATACGTTTATCCAATACTTTGGCAGTTTCAGTTGCATTTTTTTTCTTTTTTTTCAATAGTAAGCACCATGCAACCACTAAGTTTCTTTTTATTAGAATTTCCAACCATCTTAGTACAGTAGCAGTATATCAAAATTCCAAAACCATAAGCAATAAGCAAATAAGCAGGTAACTGGTAAGCATACAAATGGTACAAAGTACATTTTATTAAACAGCCAATAAATAATAAACTACCTACCCAAAATTGTTATTAGATATTAGCCATATTAAGAGCTGTAGTTTTGTTTATTACAAAATAATATTGTTAAATGTCAAATATTAATTAGGTAGAAAAAGTAAATTCTATTATTCTAAATAAATAATACTACAAGCAAATTGAAAAATCAACTGTTAATATTTTACATAACTAAGAACAAATTTAATACAAACCTTAAATTTCTTCAACACTCAAATATAATATAATATTTATTACCTCATTGGTATAGTATTTGATACAGAAAATCAATTTCGTTACCAATTAAGTTCTTTATCACTCGATTTTCGATGAATGTCAATGATATAATAATCAACGATACGAAATACTATTCTGAATTCTGATTGACATTGATGTCTGTCTGGTAATAACATATATTATAACAAATAACAAGTGTAATATTGCCACTGAATATATATATTATTATGTTCTATGATATTGCTTACACCAGTGTAGAACAAAGTACACGCGTTAAAATCATGTGGAATTCGTTTATCACGTATCACTTATAATTTATCAATAAAAATTAAGAAAAATAAAACAACTATTTTATTTTATAATAAAATAAAATATTTTTACTGTATCTTTGAAAAAATTTAACTTCTAGCGTAGCGCCCCTTTAAGAGACTTACAATTTGGCACCTGGAGCGATTGTCCTTCCTTCCCCCCTTAAATACACCACTGAGAGTAAATAAGTAAATTACAGTTTTTAATAACTTGTGTAGTACCTATACAATATATTATAGATACCTACACACTTGATAAGAATACCTACTTGATAAAGACGAATACAGTGTTGTGCGAAATATTTAAATACTTAAAACTAAACATAACTATTATGGTGAATAATAATTTTGATAATATTATGTTTCTAAAGAACAATAAGCTTTTATTTAAAAAATGACTATAAACTATCATGTATTAGCATACTAGTATACATAGTATATACTATGTTACGTTAATTTCTAACCGTGTTTAAAAACCAGTAACTTATAATTTGTAAATAATAATATTGATAAAAAAAAAAATTTACTTATAGGTACTAATAATCAATAAGTGTAAGAGTAGGAAAAGCTATAAAAAAACCTATTTTAAATCTGTAATCAAACCAAATCATCTACAAGAGCACTCGTAGAGAACAGCTAGGAGCGGATAAAAAGAAAATTTCACCCGTGGAAATGTATTATGTATAAAAAATCCACCGTTCCATCCATTATATACCTGGTAGAAATAAAAACCCAAAGAACGGAGAGATTAAATTGAAATTAGCGTTTTAAAATCGATAGACATATTCCTATGTATTTACCTAGAGTCATAAATTATGGAAGACATTACGCTGTCACGGCTTAAGTGGTATTGTTTGTAAATAATATAATGATGAATTTGACGTAAATCAGAGCGTATAATATATTTTTGGGCGTGTCGTGTGTAAACATAACAAATACCATGATATTATTATAGTCGCAAAAATTCAATAATTTTAACCGTAATAAAGTATAATATTTACATTTTGGATCTAATAATAATTATCAGTGGTGTAGCAATGGTTTATATTACTATTTTAATTGAAATAATTATAATATATAATATATTATATACAGAGTTATTTTCTAAGCATGCCCCTCTCATTTCTTCCATTTTTTATAATTAATTTGTTTAAATTCTGATTGTAATAATATTTAATTTTAAATCATTTATATTTGTTTGCCATTTAAGGTGTCTTCTGTAATAATAATAACTTCATTTTTTTTTTATACATACCTATTTGATATTGTCTCTTCTAGTAAATGGAATTTTCGTGTGTTAGTAGCAACTTTCAAAAAATTTAGCAGCTTGATACAAGAACAAAAATTATAACCCTAAATAGTTAAAAAAAATTAACATTTTTTAAATACTTGAATTTCAATTTTTTTCTCCTTCTCCCCTCTTTCTTAATAGAAATGTTTCAATGACAAAATACTCGTTGGCTATTATTTAAAATAATAATTAATACTTTATTGTATAGTAAGAAAGGAATAACATTTTCTCATCATATAATGTTAGATTTTGAAATAATTGAAAACTAAAAAAATTACTGTAAAATGCTAACATTTACATCATATTGGTTTTCAAAATAAAATGTTTTTAATTAAAACAAATATGAATAATCTGTTAATTTATATTAGCTTTTTATGGTTAAAATATAATTTTTTCTATTATTTTGTTGTATATTTATTATTTTTATTTTTATTTTATTCGGCTAATTCAAAATTAAAAAACACAAAATTTTTTCTTCAAGCGTTCCAAGTTCAATTTTTTCTACAAAATTCTTCAAAATAATTAACATTTAAAATGATATTTTACTCAATAAAAAGTCCTATTTTTTTGAACTTTAATACTTGAAAATTGAATAGATATAAATATTCTCATAATATTCTTACTAAACGTTTTAAAAACAAGCTTAACAAAAACCCAAATTAAAGTCAATTCGAAAATCAAATTTTGACGTAATTGGATGTTTGTTCAAAAACATAATGATTTTAGATATTGTGTTGTAATTTGCAAAAAATATTAACCCCAAAAACTTGAAATAATCCACTATGAGTTATGTTAAATTATCAGTTTTTTATACTCAATAAAATAGTTTTATTACCTAAATAAAAATAAATATACACAAAATAAATAAATAATTTATACAATTTTATTTAATATTTAAATAATAATAACTGCAGTTTTTTTAATATTGTTTTTTATACAATTGATTCAATGACAGGTTATTAGTTACGTAGATTCATATAAAATTGTTGAAAAGTACGTATCTTTACCAAATTTCGTAGTTTGAGGTATAAAACAAAGAGTGTAATAATTACCTAATATGCATATAAAAAATATCTACCTGTAACCTGTTATGAATTGAGTTATTACTTATTAGTGATTCGTTTACAAATATTAAGTTGTTTTTCTTTTTGGCACCTTGCCTGAGCTTAACATACGTCTAAAACTATACGTATTTATTTACATTTAAGAAATACTTAAATTGAATGTAATTAATTAGCAATATATTTTGTATTTTTATTTATATGACCTTGGTGAACAAAATATAGGTATAGTATGTATAGTGTTTTTATTTGATTAGACCACAACCCAAATATCGATAAAAATAGGTCTCAAAACAAAAAACTTAATTAAAGAAATCATAAAACAAAATGTGACGTAGGTATCGCAAATGCGCATAAAACCATCTAATATGTCTATATATTTTTTATGTAACAAACACAAAAACTAATAACCTTTGCTGTTGATGTTTTTTTAAGTTCAATAAAAAAAAAAAATGAGGATTCCATGTTAAATAATTTGCTTTTTAACAAAATTACGTAAAAATTTATTTTGTATTTACTGATTAATTGTTAATAATCATACGAAAACAGACACTGAATCAAAAAACATAACATCCATAGAAAGATGGGTACCTTGAGACACATGATCAAAATATTTATCATATGAATGCCATTTAAGATGAAAAAAAAAATTTAAATAGGTATTTATTTAAATCAAATAATAATTAATTAACTTAATACTGTGCATTATCAACAAGTCTTAGAAAATAGGGCCAAATTAAAATCTGTTATTGACACATTAGCATTTCTTTGCTGACAGAATATTTCTATATACAAGAACACTTTGATAACGGTAGTTAATTTAATGATTCCGATACTCCGTCAGAAAACAGAGGTAATTTCAAAGAGTTATTAAATTTCAGTTGTTGACAAAACTTTAAAAATCATCTTTTAACTACTCAATCTAGAGCAAAATATATAAGTAAAACTACACAAAATGAACTTATATTGTGTACATGAAGTTTTCCTCTCCCCACTTTGTCGAACTGATTTCAAAATATTTTCAAATATTATTAATTAAATGTAAATTGATTTCAAATAACTGTGAATCGAATTTCGCTAATTGAATTTTTAAAAAAATCATTTGTGTAATTTTATAATACCTATTTAATTAATAATCGTAAAAAATATTTAAAAAAATTAGCAATTAGCGAAACTCGATTTGCAATTTTTCATAAATGTGTTGGAATTGCAACAGACAATTATTGTATAATACAATGTTATCTGAAAAATGTGGAGCTGTAAATAATGTATTATGATTTATGAGCAAAAATGAAAAACGCTATAAAATTTCCATGGTAATGCCACACGTTAAATTCGTCAATTATGAAGGATATTGTCTTTTGCATACTTAAAATAACTTAGAAAGTATTAGTTTAAATTTCAATTTACATACCTACATTTACATTAACAAAAAATTTATTTCCTTATACATTTTCAACAAAAAATGTAATTCTAGTTTGAAATAAAGAATGTGATCACCGAAGAACACTTCTTAAAATTAAAATTGCATAAAATAACGTCAAGAATTTAAAAATATTGCTGTTTATGATTTGAAAAATGAAATGAGTGGCATAGATGCCATTAATTTAAATTAATTCCCCTTTAAAATATAAGGCTGTCTGTAGAATATAGTATACATTTAAATTGATGCCGTGCTAAAATAATATGTATTTATGCTAGCATGATGTATACAAAGTATATTTTCGAATCAAAACAGTACCATAAATAATATTACGGGATTACATTTCAAAATGAACTAATTCCATTTTAATACCTTATTTTGAAAATCATGATTTTTTAATCTAAATTCTGATAATTAATAAAAAAAATTGAAATATTAAAAAAATAATCAAAAAATATAGTGATTTAATTTATGATGTAATTTATTGTGATTTTAATGTAATAATTATTTATAAATTTAAATTACCGAATTGCATCATACTGTGCTATTTTCAAATTTCCAAAAATTAGTACGTATTTGTGTGATAAATGAAAAGTTTATATTTTAATTTAAAATATTTTTTCTCGATTCTTTAATAAAGTATTTTAACTGCAGTGCAATTCAAAACCTCACGTAATCATCAATCATTAAATCACACATACAAATAATTATAATACCTACATAACCTATGTATCAGTGCATCACACAGGTTATATGAGTAGGTATTCTATTCTATTATAGTATCGATAGTAAACTTAAATTACAATTTTAAAAGCCCCTTCAAGTAGTTAAACATTATTTTTAAAGATAACATAACATGACAACTGAAAAGTATAATTTTTTAAATGAATACTAAATATAATTATCAATAATTGGTTACTATGATGGTATAAGTTTAGACTTAAATATAAAATGTTTATTCAAAATGTATTACAATTGAACAACATAAAAATATAATTTCAATATGTTAATTTTGTATGATAAACTATTTTTATTTTATGGTACAATTCTTAAAATATATTTTTAAAACTATAATAATTGATTAAAATATAAGAATTATTTGGCTTTTGTGAAGTTACTATGAAAATAATGTTATTGTTTTAACTTTATTGTAAAATTCTCTTTTTGATTAAAACAAAATAGACAAACATTGACAACTAAGTTGTTCTGTAAGCTACAGGCATTTTATAAATTCAAAATCAAATTAAATATACAGTAGAGCCTCGATTATCCGTGTTTGCAATTATACATGCCCATTGCCCACTCTTCCAAAAATTTTTAAACATAATACTCGATATCGACAATTATATTAATGACATTTTTAATGATAACTTCATATTTTAAGCCCTAATAACTTGTTGTATACAATATTATGGATGTATGTATAACATTATTGTATGTATTCGTCTTCTTATGTATATTTCTAATTACAATTGAATCAAAATTTTTAAAATTTCATTATTATAAAATTATACCTATGTATTTCTAATTATAATTAAATAAAAAATTTCATTATTATAAAAAGTCTCGATTAACCATGATTTTCATTTATCTGTATGACCCTCTCCCCATCATTACCCCAGATAATCGAGGTTCTACTGTATTCTTTGAAATTATTTTTGGCAATTTTGTTTAAATAATCAAAGTGCATTATTAATGAAAAACGAAGTTTTATTTCAGAACCTATCACATGAATACTTAAAAAAAATCACCTTGTTTGTCACATAAGAGTTCTGAAATAAATAAATGTTCTTATACCTTGTAATAGATTATGACAATTTTCTTACTTAACTGTGTTTTAGTGTGTTTAATGTAAAAAAGAACATAAAATGTATTCAATTTAAAATTTCTTTATTTTAAGAATAATCTTGCAGGTAAAATTAATTTTTATGCTCGACCAACCGAGTCATTACATGAATAGTATATTTTAATAGTAATCTTATAACATAATGTACATTTTTAACTCAATTTAAGTAATTTATCAACTTATTTAATGAGAAACAAATCAAATACTTCTATGGAAATCTAATCCTAAGGAATTAAAATATAGTAGTAACAATTTCACTACATACCTATATTATAATATAATTAAACGTGTATAACACATGAGTAACACAACTAAAACTAATTACATAATTTTATTAACACAATAAAATGTAACATATAAAAAAGGAATGACAATAATACAATAATATAAATTATATGTTTCCTAATGTTTCTATACAACATATATTTAATAAGTCTATTAAAATGTATGTGTAAATTTTTGAAACATAATAATATAATTATGAGGTACTTTGCACATTTTGTTTCCTTATAGATAAATGTTTTACAGACTTTTGATTACAAAGTATTTGTATAATAATAATAACAATCTATAGCATAGAACTTATTTAATTAAATTATAATAATTAATTTTAATAAACAAAAACTCAAATTCGATTTTGCTATTTTTTTGAAAAAGTTGTATAATAAATAGATAACAATATTATGAAATAAATTTTTTTGATTATGTTATACAGATGAAGTATTTTAACATTAAACTTATTATTTCAGAATAATTATTTATTAACCTTTCCCCCTTATTTCTCATTAAAATATAGTTCTGTATTTTTTTATGTTTAGAGTAGGAGAAAACAGAGAAATACTAGAAATTGTTTAATATAGAAGTTTACAGTCTATTTGCTTATTTTTTAATTATTATAATAAGTGCTTAATAATAAAAGAATATTTTAACTTATTTTTAAAAATTACAATGTTTAAAAAACTTTAAAATATAATTTTAAATTAAAATGTATATTATTTAATAGTCAAAATGTGTATTTTTTTGGTTTTAACACACTATTTTAACGGTCTAATAAAAAATATACTAACATTAAGTTGTAATCTAACATTATTTAAAATGTTATCATTACTATTATAATTAAAAATATAATATTTTATATTAGGAGAATATTAAACATAAAAATAACATTGTAAAAACTAAAAAGTTACAAAAAAATTTAAATCAATCATTGTCAGAAAAAACTTAAGCTCAATGGTATAAGGATAGTATATGTAAGAAGCCATAAGTCATTTAAACACTTCAAATTTACTACATTCCACATATTTGTCCTGGTTTCAGTTTGATAAACAAAGCTATTTTTTTAACATAAAATAAAATCCAGTTAAACATTCAAAAAATACACTTTGATGTTTTAAAAATAATATAAAAATAATTGATAAATATTTTTAAATAATAAGTCTTATATGTTAAAAAATCATACAGCTTAATCTATTTATTTTTACATATATAATATGCATATAATGCTATGTTTAAGTAAGAATTTAGTATAATTTAGTTTATGAATACATTTGTTATATATATGTGTGATATTAATAAATCAGTAAAAGTAATGATTTATTGATTTATTTGAGAATAATATATTGTTTAAAGATTAATTTCTTCCTTAAAAAAAATAAGCTTAAAAGTTAAAGTTAATCTTTAGTCTTCATTAAAGGTGTCATTATTGTGTAAAAGATTTTGCTTTTCTGGACAAGGTGGTCTAAATAAAAAGTTTTATTAAAAATTTAATAATTATAAATTAATTTTAAAAAAATATGATTTATTACTTGTTCAATTCGATTTTATTTCTTTGATTAATACTCATATTTAAAATTCCTTTATTCCTGGAGTCACATGTCCACAAAATAGCTGTCAGCAACAAAGCAGCTAAAATAGAATAAATAAATTAGACAAAAAATAATTTTAAAAAGAATATTTTATTTAAATTAGGTAAAACAAATATTTAAAATTGTTAAAAGGAATCATCACATTATCATATAAAATAATTATAAACATAACAAAGCAAGTTCAATAGATAAATTATACAATCAAAATAAATCGAAAAACTTATAATTCATTTAAGTTTGTATAATTCACTTTAAATATGAAGATAAATTCATATTTAAAAAATAAAATGAAATTTTTATTTAATTTAATTCCTTACAAAAATAGAAAAAAAATATTTTTAAATTTTATAGAAATTTAAAACTAATAATTAAAAATATTTTTTAATGTATCCCCATCATAATCATAATTTTTAATATTAAGGCATTGCAAGATTATGAAGTTCAATTATTTATTAGCTCAATTTAATTAGCAAGAATTTAAAACAAAAGCTATATACTTAATTATTTATTTCTTAATTTCGTAAAACCAAACTCTTCTAACAATACATAATTTGCATACATAATTTTTAATAAAATATAATATTTACTTGATAATAAAAGACAGAAGAATAATTCCACCATATAATAGCCATCTGAATCAACTATTATACCGCTTAACAAAGCAACAACTGCAAGACCAAGATTTTCAACAGACTGTGCTCTATAAATATTATAAAAATAAAAAATTAGAATACAGTAAAATATTTTTACCATTGTTTAAAACAGAATCTTTTTTTTTTAATGTAAAAAAAAAATAATAAGATCAAAGCAAAAAAATTGTATTACTTTCCTAACTATTTTATTGATTCACACATTATTATACTATATTATATTAAGATTTAGCTTTAAGTTTTAAATTAAATTAACATCTGAATAAAAAATCTTGAATAAATAACAAAAACATATTAATTAATATCCATATTGTGTTAACAATTCACAATGATTTAGCTATATTATGTTTAATTCAAACTCATATATGTATTACTACAAGGTCTCCCTTATTTCATCTTAATAAATAAACATAATAAACTATTATAAGTACAAAATTAAAATACAAAACTCTTACATGCCATATGCTGTTCCCATTTGATGTTCAGGAATAACCATAGCAATCAGAGGCCACAATGCACTTGCCAACATTGAGTAAGATAATCCCATTGTAAACTATAAAGAATTTTAAACATTGTAATAGTTATATTTTTATAGTTAAAATTAAGTTAAATTGTTTTACCATAGCAATATAAGGGTTCACAAATGTAAATGCCAAGAACATATGTGAAACCAAGGTACCAAGAATTGATAAAAATACCCAAAATAGATTTCTCCCAGTTTTGTCAATGACTAGACCAAGTGCTGGTGCACAAATTGATGATATAATATAAATAATTCCATTAATTAAATTGGCTGAATCCGGTGAAAAGTTATATTTTTTTTCAAAGAATACTCTGAAAAATTAAAATGTACAGTGAAGTATCAAATTAAAATAATAATTAGATAATTTAATATTTTACTAAAAAATAAATAAAATTTCTTTTATCATATGATATTAGACTAAAACTGAAAGTTACATCATTTTAATAAGTAATTTATTTAAAAGCACAACAAAAGAATTTAACAATATTGATTCAGAAATAATTTTAAAAATTTGATAAATGAAAATAAAGTTGTAAAATTATTTCAAACTACAGAAATACTATAATGAAATTAATGATCCAATATCAATGATTTAACTTTTTGTTAATTTTTCTTTATAAATCATAATATTATTACAATTAAATAAAATAATACAAAATCATCTTACTTTCCTAATGCAACAAATGGAAAAATTGATGTGTAATAGAAAACAATAATGAATGTAACTAGCCAAAAGACTTTTGGAAAGTACCACACATCAGACATTCTTACAACTTCAGTCGTTTCAAGTGCCTTTCGATGAAGTAGTTTTTCAGCCCTTTTATCTTGCCAAGCAAGTAACAAGGCACTTACCAATGATAAAATACAGGTCAAACTTGCTGATATAAAATATTATAAAATATAAATTAATAGATTTCAGTAAAATTATGATTCTTATTAAATACATACCAACTAACAAAACAATTGATAAACTTTGATAGTTAGGAACACTTATTTGTTTTTTCACATATCGATATAATGGTTCCATAACTATAAAATTCACTGTTGAACCAACTCTGGCAAAACTTATTTGAAATCCAAACACCATATTCAGTTCTTTTCCTTTAAACCATAGTACTGCATAGTTGTTTTGAGCAACAGCTAATGATTCTCCACCAATTCTATGTCAAAAAATAAATTTTTAGTTTTTATAATTTTCAAGTATTTACCTGAACACTATTTTAATACATAAAACATTCATAAAAATTTTGAGTAATATAATGTTACTCCATACATTTATCAATATATTTTTTATATAACTACCTAATTTTAAAAATGAATTGAAAACAATTACAAAAACTAGACTACATTTTTAAATTGCACATGGAATAGTACATCATAATTTATAGTATTTTAGTTTATTACCCTAAAAATATTAGATTTCTTATATTAATGGCCAATAAATAAATCTATGCCTAAAATTAAACGTTAAAATATGAATTATTTATTAATTACTATTTTTATAGTATGTTAAAATATCCATAATATTTTAATTTATATAAATATAAACCCCAAATTAAATGATAATGTTTAATTAAATTTAACTTCTTAACAGATAGATTATTTATTCTGAAATACACATAACAATAAGGTTTATACTTATTCAACAAATTTTATTGATATCAATTCATCAATATGAAGTTGTTTAATGTATTCAATTTCTTTCTTTTTTTGTTAAAAAAACAAGTTATTACATCACCTAATTCTCATAGTTATACTTATGATACTAAAATACAATTACCCAAATATCAGACGGCCAAGTATCATAACCCAGAGGGCATTCAAATATGCTCCAGCAGCAAATACTATTTGACCAAGAACAACCAACAATGCATAGATGATGGTACCTAAACGTATCCCAAAAACACTAGAAACGTTAAAAAAAAAAACATATTAAACAATAATCTTTAAATAAGTTTACCATGCTGTAAATTTATATTAAATTAATATAACTACAATTTTGAATTTACCAAAATAAACAAACATTAATAACCTTTAAACATGAATCTTGCAACTAGAATATATGCAGATAAATCTTATACTAATTTAATTTAACTTTAGTTTATAGTTAATTTCATATTATAATTTACTTCATAAAGAAGTTAAATTTTAAAAACAAAAAATATGCATACAAAAATAAAATGTACATATATATGAATAAAATACCAAAATAATATATTTGTTATTTAAATGTATACATATTTGAATGAAATTTATTATTATCATGTATCTAGTACTAAAGTGTAAAAAAAAGTTATACTATTTATGTACTGATAAATGAAAGAAAAATTGTATTCCTGGAAAGGACTAATATCACTGATTTAAATCTCAAAAGTAACCATATATGTTACAAATAAATTTATTTCTAGCATATTATAAAATAAATAACTTAGAACCTGTCAATTAAAAATCCGCCAACAAAGCACATGATAACATTTGGCCAAGAATACCACGAATACAGATAGACAAATTGAGAAGTTGTTAAATTCATGTCTTGAATAAAATCATCTTGTAATGCTCCAGGATTATCAAAACAAAAGTATGAACCTAAAAATCATAAATATTGCTTTTTACATTTTCCTTACTTTTTATGAATACAGCTAAATAAATATTTACCAAATCCAATTAAACACATCAAAAATAATGCTATAAGTCGTTGAAAAATATGACTTGGATGTGTCCATGTTACTTTGCAATCGTTTTCTTGGTTGTTTTTTATAGCAGATGAAGTAGATGGTTGATTTTCTTCCATTTTTACAATGTCAAAACTAAGTAACTGGAAATTTTAAAATAATTTTATAAATTAAACATATTAATTAAATAAATTGTATCAAATAATTAATAAACGTTATATTTATAAATTTTAAAAACTTTAAAAACTTCCTTAATTTTATTTCATATAGTCTCCAAGTTCTAACATAATTGTCTTTGTCCTAAAAATTCACAACATAGCAAGTTTGCGTTCAAAAAAATACATATTGTATCATTAGTTTTAATATTGAGAATTTTAAAGTAATAATATCATTTATGTTCTAGATGTGATTTTTTATTTTTATTTTAATGTGACTTTTGAGCATTTTTAAATTTAAATATTTAACAAGCTTAAAACTTGCTTTAAAATTGAAATATTAATAAGAAACTAAAAATAGAACAAAAATGATATTCTCACCTTTAAATTGATCAACTTACTGTAAAATTAAATTTAACGACACAAAATAACACAAATTTGCTATATTACACATTTGTAACATGAATATAACATATCTGGGCATCTCATCACTTAGAGATGATTCAATAAGACTTCTAATAATATGATCGGTTTTTTAACAAATAAACTCGATTTTTAAAAAAAATTACTATAATACAATTAATAAGGCAATTAATTATTAGTTTCAATATTTTAATTGTTCAAATATTGTTAGGTTGACAATATTTTAATATCTCCAATTAAGTGTCACAATACTTATTTAAGAAGCGATAAAAATTAAATTATTAATCAATAATTCCATAAAATCAATTAATATAGGTATAACATATTATTTTCTTACATGTCAAATTTCTATAGATGTACTTTTTAAATTTTTATATTCTGTTTAGCAAGAAAACACATTGTAGCCTGACAAAAAATCAGTTTTATGCATTCTCACACTATATCCTGCTATAGTGAAACCAGTCTCAATAGTAATGTTGAGTGCAAATATACATAATCGATGTGTTTTCTCACTAAATAGAATATAAATATCTAACAATTAAATTATAACTTTGAAAATATAATTTAATACTTTTATGGTCATATATTTTGCCATTTGGAACAGTAAGTTTATGCAACAAAAGCCTTAAGGTATTTTACTTTTCTTGATAGTTAAAAAATTTACTTAATATACAAAGTAACATCCAAATAATACACACTTTATTTTAATTTACAAAAAACCATCATAAATGATAAAAAAAAAAAAACGTATACCTATTGATCAATTCGTTCAGAACTTAGGTGATTTTTTTTTAACAACTGCTAGCACTATTATACCATTTTAATAGGTATGATCAACATATTAACATATTATTAATTAAATTAGTTAACACTCGATTATACAATAGAATTTTAATAACAGTTATATTAAACGCATTGTAAAAGAACAAATTCACAGACTGTTGAATATTGACAAGCATAAGCAATAACAACGTAAATCGACTAACCTTTTTTTTTTTTTTGCAATTTGTACTTTAGACCGTCCAATCGACCATAATATAACGTGTTGAGTAAAACAATGTCAAAGATTTATCGGCCGTTTACTGTGTGCGCAGAAAATGATCAAAATTGTGTTATATCACGCGGGAGTTGTAAACATTACTCAGCAGTATATAATGGAATAATGAACATCCAATATTAATAATAATAATAATAATAATAATAATAATAGTAGTTTTCGTGCTACCAAACGCGTCAACAGGGGAGTTATAAACTAATAAAATATATAAGGCCTTTGTTGTACCATTCTCTATCAGTGGGAATATTTAACACACCATAGGGGACAAAAAAAAAACACGGACACGACACGATACGACCGTATGTATAATAATAATAATATTATTTATTATGCTCGTGTATATTTCGTATCACAAAAGGCTTTATCAGTGAAGGTCTTCTTTGATAGCATATGGCGGGCTGTGGCATGTCGTGAGTGTGTGAGACCAATAATCCATTCCACGGTAACAGGTTGTACTGCAACTGCACTGTTTCCTCCGTACGGTGTACAGGAAGTGTAAATAGTAAATACTGTAAATCGTAACATTCGTATTTCGTAACAATCTTGGTAATGTTATGTGATTAATAATTATTCAATTATTGTAATATTTTTTATTATTTTCTTGTTCATTCAGTTCATTGTACGATTCGAATGTCTAAGTGTGTCGTGTGTGGCATATATTTTGTCATTGTGGGCAATACAAGACGTTAGTATATTGTATTAAATGAACGAATCGCAAGGAATTTCACTATACCCAACTATAACTTAACTATATTTAATATCATCAAAATCACAAACATTTGCAATGATTGAAAAATTATTTTGTAATTAAGAATTAAGGTTTGAAAATTGAATACAAGATTACTCGTAAGTTTGTTTTATTGAAATATATAATAACAAAGCTGAAGAGTTTGTTTGTTTGTACGTGCTAATCTCAAGAACTACTATTTCAAATTGAAAAATTATTTTTGTGTTGGATAGTTCATTTGTCGAGGGAGGCTTTAAGCTATATACCATTACGCTGCGACAAAACAAAATTCTAATATATTCAACATCTTATAAAAAAAATTTCTTTTTATTCTGTGATAAAAATAAATGAGAATTTATTATTTAACATTGACATAAACACGCATACGAATTATGAAGGAATGCATCGTTACTGGTCGGCAAGCAACATCGAGTAAATTCATTGTATAAAATAAAAACATAATATTATACCTAGTTGGTACTTTTAACGGGAAAGAAATGCACAAGATCAGCTATATAAAATAAAACATAATATTATGGTTGGCACTTTTAATGAGCAATGAAGTGCATAGGATCAGCTTGTTGAAATATATATATATATATATACAAAGAAAAATAAGCAAAAAGCCATTTATAATTTTACGAGTGATTGATTAACAAATATTGAAGATATCGAATATTCAAAGGTAAAATAACAATTATCGATAATGAATTATTGTAATTCAAAAATTATTAATCATAGAAACATTGTAATATTGCTCAAATCATTTTCATTTTCCATGCAGAATGAAAGTTTCAAAATCTCAAACTATAAAAATTTAAAACTTAGACATTTTTTTGATTTATTTTTCAGAAAATATTGCTAAAAATGTTAGAATATAACTTAACTATTTAATTCAAGATCTCACACACATGGTTCTCATAGCAATTAAAATTATAAAAAAACATAGGAATACATTTTTTTTCAAGTGTTAGAAGTTCAAATTTTGTATAGAGAATAGTAATATTACCATACTTTATAATGTATATACATTAACAGAAAAATCACGAGAAAATTGTTCTACTTATACAAGTGAAACATAATATGGTCTAAATAATAATTTATTTAATAATGCGTTTGTATTATTTACATAAACATGTGCAATATTTGTGTCTGGTACAATACATTTTTAACTAGCCTAATAAAAAACAGAACAATAAACATTCCTCATTGCCTGTCCACTTAATCTTATTATGGTATAGAAAAAATAAAGTTGAGGCAAAAATTATAAACTCATATTATTCGATTATAAATTATGATAAAATATTATGAATGTCTATAAATTTGCTATGTGCCACAATATAACAATGATTTCCAGTCAATAAAATAATGTAGGTACACTGATGTGTTAGTATGTGAACATGGTACAAAAAATTCCTCACATTAGTCATTTTTCAATCAATTAATATTAAACATTCATATTTAAATTTTGTTTTAAAAATTATTTATATCTTAATAAGTCTTTTCAATAAATATTCAAAATTAATAGTGAAAGTATTATTCACTATAAGTATGTGTAGTAATTACACTATACATGCTTATAATTATTTATATTTTTTGTCAGTAGGATTCATCACATGAAAATATCACAACAATCCTAATTGTACTGATACTAATATTTTTGTAATTATATGTTGTATATGAATAAAATTAAAATATTACAAATATTTACATTAATTTATGTATTAGGAAGTAGGAATACCAATATATGTTATAATATAGATCATAACTAAGATTCAGATTTATATACACTAAAAATTTACAAAATATGTTCTTAAAAATATTTGGTTAAATCCATGTTTTTTGTTAAAAAAAAAAAAAAAACATGATTTTAAATTAAAATAAAACATATAATAACAAAGTTTATTTAATTGTTTATAATAGTATAATATTAATTCCCACAAAAATAATATCTGTGTATCTAATTCAATGCTCAATGTTTCTTCAAAATGTATTTTAAATAGAATCAACAAAAGTGGGTAAAGTAGATAACTACTCTGTTGTAAAATAGGTTTCAAATGTACCTTGTCATTAAAAATTCACTATAATGTATGTATTAAATTTGAATTTAATAATAAATTGTTACATACATAAAAAAAAAATCTGAACAGACAATTTGTATGCAATAATCTGTTTATCCTACATTACTAAATATATTTACTAGTGTATTTATATTTATTAATTTTACTAATAATTATATAGTAATTAATACATTTTACCAGGAGCATTGTATTTAACATTTATCATATGACATATTATTATAATTATTAATTATTAATATTTAATTGTTATAATAGTATATTATATATTATTGATATTTAATTACTGTAATATCAAATATTATTGTTCTTGACATTTGATTCAATAAATACATAGGTACTTATTGTTGAATACTGTGAATAGGTTTGTGGTATAAATAAGCAATGATATAATATGTTCTGAAAATGGCGTTGTAATAATAATTACAATTATGTTTATTTAAATTTAAAAAACCCTTTAAAGACGTGTATAGGCAATAGAATATGCAGTACTGCGGTTACCGCCTTACCAGAAGTGATAAATTATGACAAAATAAATACGGGAGTAATCATTACAATTAAATAATTCCTCTCCCTATGTACCTAATTATAGGAAATAATAGGCCCCATATATTTAATAGATTAGAATACATTAAATCAGAAATCAAAATGAATTTTCTTTATAATTTTATATCTCTGTTTTTTTTTATTATTTATTTTAATTAGTTGTTCTAGACTTGTAAAATACAATTACAAAAAAAAAAACAATTTAATTTTTGTCTGATAAAGTTATTATGCTATACTTTATAAAATTGTAATTTTCTTGATGATTTGTTTGTCTACATCAGTGGTTTCCAACCTGGGGAGCGTATACACATCGCTGGGGAGGCACAAGCAGCCATCACAAAGTAAAATTTTTATTTATCAAATTTTATTATATTTAAAATTCCTCTATAATATTATATTATTTACAATTATTTATATTTTATAATTTCTATCACTAATAAAAAAGTAGTCTTTCCGAATATTATATAGTTTATTTGTAAAACGTAAAGTAAACAAAAAAATTATAATTTTTTCAATTTATTGGTGGGGGGACGAGATTTTTGAAAATCTACAAAGGGGGCATAGAATAAATAAGGTTGGGAACCACTGGTCTACATGACTATATAGATTTTTCTTTTACTTATGTCAACATAGCTTAAAATATCTTAAAATATCATTATTACCTATAGTTTTTACAGAATAGATATATTTGTAATGAATATTTCTTTATTTTAGGAGGTATAGTTCGTACATACCTTACAGTGACAACCTATAAGTCATAACCTCGCATACCAGGTTTTGACTTCAATTTTTATAATACATTATAATTACAATAAATTTGAAACATAACTTTCTTGATAGAGTTAAAATTTTAAATTAGTTAAAATTATTCAAGTGTAACCTTAAATAATATTCTCTTAAAATTAAATAAAAAATATTTATTACTCTTATGTTAATTATTAAATAACTTTTATTACTATTAAAAAAATAATTAGGTGTAGTTTTATTATTAACAGCTAAGAAAGTATGTATAATTAATGTATTCCCACTATAATTTGTATATTATTTTATATTTAACTTTATAATTACTTCAAAATACTAAAAATATTTTAAAGACCTATATCATTATTTATTTTTTCATAGCTAATACCATTAAAAGTTTTGTTAAATTAAAATTTTTTTTAATAATTAATTTATATTTTTTATAAAATATTAAAAACAATTGTAAATTGGATTTAAGTTGTTAATATAAAAAAATATACATTATTTTATTACATTGGAATTATTCCTGCATTAAATTAAGAAAACATATACTAAAAAAAAAAAAAAATTAAAAGCACCAAAACTCAAAAATTCTATGGAAGAACATATACAGACATTTTGTGAAGTTACTGAGAGAACTGGATATGGGAACAATTATATTATAGATTTTGATCAGGTTAGTTTTTAAATGTCTTATATATTTTCTAACATTTATTTGAATAAATAAACATAAGAACATTAAATAAAATAGTATACTTAAAATACAAATTGTATTATTACACATTTATATAAAATATTATATTATATAAATTAATGATTCATTAATACTATGGTATATAAATAATTAAAGGAGTTAATACATTTAAATAAAATAATAAAATATCTCAGCCCCACAAATAGCTCAAAAATAGTAGAAATATTCTACAAAAGTAAATAAATATAGATATTATAACAAACATGTGACAAATATTTAAAATATCAACGGTTATTAATTTTTAAATTATGATAAAATAAGAAAATAAATTTTAAACTAGTTATATGTAAAAATTCCCATCTTTTCCTTTTTATAATTTTAAATTTTTTAATTATTAAAAGAGTAGTGGGAATTTTTTACTTTTGACCACCCACCATCTCTTTAAAGTACCAACTAGGTATATTCAATAAATATTGAATGATATGATAACTTTGTATGTGTCAATTTGCATTTTACTTATATGGTATATTAAATTTGTATTATATATAAAAATGTATTGTTTTTCTACAATTTGTTTATATAGCAATAATTTTTAATTATTTAATTTTATCACAAACATTTTAAAACTGGTATACACTAAATTTAATATGATAGGTTATAAAATTTGATGGAAATTACAAAATGTCATTAATAATAACCAAACTATTTAATCAAATACAGCATAATCTGTATGTTAAGGTAAAACAAAAAATGAGAGAAAAATATGTTGTAATATGATCTTAATGTGTAATGTATTTACAGTACCTAAAATGTTTATTATTTATACTATTTTGTGGACCCATTTGCGACGGCAACATTAAATGGGATAAATTGTATGAAAATATTTTACATATATAAGCTTAAAATTTACTATAGCATAATCTTTTTACATAGGTAATCATATTATATTTATTATATAGGGATGATCAGCAGAATTTAGAGCTTAAATTACAGTCACACTGCGTAAAGTCATTATGTGTGCCATTTGAACGACCCAAGAGAAGTGAAAAATTAAAGGCAAATCCCTATATAGTATATACATGAACTATTTACCTGAACCAATTATCCTGTTTATCTGTTATTATTAAATCAAGATGTTTACTAAATGAAATACTTTGATGTTAATTTTTATATTTTTGTAGTTATATGTATGAATGGAATATAACAATATTTAATATTCTTGATTTAATAAAATATCAACATATGCTTTGCATTATACATATTATTGGTCTTTACATTAAAAATAAAATTATTCAATTTATTCTCATGACTCATTTTATAAGTACAGTAGAACCTCGATTATTCGAATTAATTGGGATTGCACCTAATTCGGATACGCAAAAGTTCAGTTATTGGAAAAAAAAAAAACACTATAAACAAGTTTTTAAAACACAGTTAAATATTTTATATTACATATTTCGGATAATCGAGATTCTACTATAAGTATATGTTAATAATAATTCAATATTTTACAAACATTTATTACATTTTTATAATACAATATGATTTTTAATAAATTTATATAAATATATCATAATTATAATTTATATTTTACTAGACTTGATTTAAAGTAAGACGACCATTATTATTTAAAATGTATCTGTGGCCTTATGGCTAACTATTGGTATATTGTCACGTTAAGCATGACACATGTTTAGATCCATTTGACTATTTAAGGATAACTTGACACAAATTGGGTGATAGTATTTTTTATTTTTTTTTTTTTGATCAATAAAATAATTTAAATAACAATATTTTTTTTATCCTATAAAAGTGTTATTTTCCTTAAATTAAAACTTTCATGTTTCTCCGATTTCCTATGACCTATGTAGTAAAAAAATAAAAACAATAGGGATATATAATATAGATAAATTAGGTACCTACACAAATAATGACGTGTCTTATGTATTTGTGAAAATATTCATTCACAATATCTGTTGCTAGCAAATATCGGAGCCAAGCAACCACGATATTGATACGAGTAAGCTATATTTTATTCAAATCTCAAACTTCATAGTTGGTGTAATGTATAATGCCAGTTTAATCCTATGAACACACATGACTTACAGAAATTATCGATACAGGCTACAAATACAGCAAAACGAATACATATCAAAGGTAAAGTAATTTGCGATGGATAACACACTATTTGTAGATGTTTTGGCCGGTGTTACCGGCGGATTTGCATCTGTATTCGTGGGCCAACCGCTGGACACAGTGAAGGTGAAAATGCAATTGTTTCCTAAGATGTACGGCAGCATGTTTTCATGTTTATCAAGCACTGTCCGTCAACAAGGATTCTTTGGTCTGTACGCCGGTATACTACCAGCACTCGTCTCAAATGGAGCCGATGAGGCGGTCATGTTTGGCACTTATGGTCAGTGCCAGAAACTAGTGGCCAAATCAGTCGGGACAGTGGATACTACTGATTTGAATTACATCGAAAATGCAGCGGCGGGAGGTATTGCGTCAGTGAGTAAAATTCTATTCAACATAGTAAATATTAAGTATAAAATATATATTTAATATTTTTTTTCGAGTTACTCGAAAAAATGGCTACCAAATTGAAATTCAGAATAATATTTGGTAGGTATAACGTTCAATGTCATGCATAGGTACACATTATAGATTAACTTCATCAAAATCAGTACAATAAAATATCATGTTACAATTTTTCAATAAATATTTACAGACACGAAATGCATTTTCAGTTTTTTTCGGCTTCAGTACTTTGCCCGACCGAATTGATAAAAATACGTATGCAAGGAATAAACAATGACGTTACGGCTAATGTAAAATTGCAAAATCAAACAACAGATCAAATTTTTAAAAAAATCTGGAAATCTCAAGGTTTTAAAGGTCTTTACCGTGGGCTGGGATGTACAATAGTCCGAGAGTTTATAGGGTGTTCAGTATTCTTCGGTGCATACGAACGAGCTCGCGAACTACTAAAACCAGACGGTAAACGAAAGGAAAACTGTGACGCTGTTGCTACAATGATGGCGGGATCTTTAGCTGGGATATGCACGTCGTTGATCATTTACCCAATAGATGTAATAAAATCCCGTGTGCAGATGGCAGTAAAAGAGAGCGAATTTCTGATGATTCAAAAAGAAATTCTAAGTAAAGGTTCACGAGGATTGTATTCTGGTTTATTACCAACAATGGTAAAAACCGTACCGGTCACTGGAATTTTACTACTCACCGTGGAATTTTCAAAATCATTTTACCGAAAATTTTTTTCGGAAATTCCGAATTCACTATCAAGTGTTTCCTATGAAAATTTTTTTTCCGTTTGTGATTTTGTATCCGGGTGGACAGCTGGTTTGTTATATAAAGTTCGAAGATAATCAGACAAAATAATTATATATTACGTATTTACATCATACAATTTAATAATTCTTAGGTATTGTTTCTACCTTAGTGGGACATCCAATAGACACAGTAAAAGTCATACAACAAGTTACTAATGATAATGTAGAAAAAACCGTTAGAGATATTTACAATCAAGATAAGGCAAATAAAAATAAGTTAATAATTTGAACAAAATTTAGTTTTAAACAATTTAAGACTTAGAAAAAAATATTCCTTTAAACTGATATTAAATCTTCTGTATTGAATAGTTCAAAGGATACTTTAGAGGAATGATGTTTCCGATCTTAAGTGTTGGTGTCGCAAATTCAGCATTTTTTGGAACTTATGGTAACGTGATGAGGTTAATCCAAATACATCGCGACGACAGTAAAACAAATAAAAATATTGATGCCAGGTTTTGCTACGATAATGAAAATTTACACAAATATTGGCATTTGGATGTATTTATTTCGGGTTGTATTGCTGGTATTTCTTATGCATTGATAAACACACCAATTGAAGTTATCAAAACATTATTACAAGCAAGGAGTAAATATTTCAATACTAGGTATTCATTTCTATGATACATACAAATAAACCGGTTTTAGATATTTCAACTTTAAAGCAAGAAAATGTGGAAAATTTAAAAAAAATTGAGCCATTAAAAACGACCAGTGCATATAAATTAATGATTGAACTTTATAATATCAACGGTATTCGTTCACTGTATCGAGGTGGAACATTATTGTTTATTAGGTTTATTGAATGATATAATAGTAGAATAAATAATAAAATAGTTATTGAAAAGTACCTATCATATTTTTAGAGATATTCCTAGTATGGGAATTTATGTGTTATCATACGAACATGTATGTAGTATGTTAATGAATATATCACATTTTGAAACCAAAGTAGAGTCAATGCCAAAACACGTGCAAATTATTTCTGGTGGTGTTGCAGGTAAACAACAAATACAAATTGAATAAGCCATATTAATTAACGCGTAACTGAAATATTTAATTTATTAAATCTTAACTGTGAAAGAAATATAATATATTATAATCCATTTCGTAAAATTTTAATTTAGGTGTACTAAGTTGGATTTTAGTGTTGCCGTTTGACGTGATCAAATCAAAAATCATCACAGATAACCTCGAGAAACCTTTATACAAAAGTGCGTGGGACTGTACAAAAAAAACTTACAATCAAGGTGGAATTATAAGTTTTTTACGAGGATTTTGGTTACTCTGCTTACGGGCCTTTCCTGTTAATGGGATAGCATTTGCAACGTACGAAACAATTATAAACAGTTGTAGATTTGAAAAACCTGACCAATTTAAGAAAATTCCGGTTGAATCTAAGTGGATGTGATTCGGTGTATTTTAATCAACAAAAATCAAATTTTGGACAAGTAGTTATGAGTTATAAGTGTTTAAAATTTATATGATCGGAGTAGTTAACCAAAATTTTACGGTGTTCCCCTAAACCAGTTTATTCCGCTCATTTATAATCTTTAAACACTTATAAGTAATAACCAATATTTTATTTTCTTAGGCCCATTTGATAGCTGTACATTAAACACGTGTAGAACGCATGAACGACGATCTTGTACGTGTTTATTAATATAAATCAAAATTAAAATTGTAATTTTATTTTTTTATAATACAAAATTATATTTAAAATTTTAAAACCTAATTAATTTTTAAAAAATAATAAAATAAATACTGAGCTACGATATAAAAATCATAAAATTAATATATAATTTAAAATTTAAATCTACAAAAACTATAATTGATAACTGAAATTTTAATAAATTTCTTCAAATTTAATTTCGATCTTAAATCCAGCCCAAAATGATCGATAGAAAAAATATATATTTATTTTTTTATAAATTACATAATATGAATGTTTTTACTCTAAAACCACTTTTTAATTTTGTTTTATTACCTATTTTTACCGTTAAAAGTTATCGGTATTTAACGTACTAAAAGTTTTGTTTTACTTTTTGTCGTTTTAATTGCTTTTATTTTTAGCATTTAATAAAATATGTAATAATAAGAGATATCAAAATTTTAAAAACTAGGTTAAGAAAACAATCATAAGTAATAAGTACAATTTAAAACAATAACCAATAAGTTAAACAACAACATAAAAACATGCTAGTTAAGACAACAATTGCTTAATATAAAATAGTTTTAACATTGTAAAAATATTGTAAGTAGGGTAACCGGTAAGATAACAATAATATTAAGCATAATACAAGGAGAACTGGATGACCAAAAAAAAAGGTCAGTAGTGGACTGGTGGTGTTCGTGTGACTCGGTTACTATTAGACACCGTGTAAAAAATGTTATAATATTTTAATTGTTCATTTATTGTGTATGTTGAATTGATCGGCGTATACGAAATTGTTTAAATAATTTATAAAAATATCTATAATTTCTTAAGAATCTAGATTCAATTTTCTTTTACATTTCTTTTATAATTAATATTTCTACTGTAAACCATTCCAATAAACCGCATTATTGGAGATACGAAAGCATATTTTTATTTTTTAAGTGTTATTGTTTTAGCTGTAACATTTACGCCGTTTGTAAAAGAAGCTCAAAATAGTTATTGAAATAAAAAAAAGAATTAATCCTTTATATTATTTTACCGTAAAATGATATCTTGCTATAAGAATATCTGCTATTTTACCGAACCGATTAGCTTGATTTTTTAAACAAAAGTGATGAAAAAAAGAAGTAAACGATGTAAAAATAAAAGAAAAATACCTAACAAAAATTTAAAAATGAATTAAAATAGGAATTGTAGTAATAACCTACCTATAGTTATCGATGTTTTGTAATCCGTATACGTGTATATAATAACAAAAAAGACATGCTTTATTGTTTGCCGTGTATACACAAAGGATATTCATAACCCAATTACGTCTACTGCTGCTTCGTCGTTGACATGGTTTTTTTATTATACTAAACAACTCTATTTTCTTTGACAGCTGTGGCGGTAGTACAGCAGCAGTACGTCGGAGTCGAGTCCTTAAAAAATTGCCTATATTATAAACTCCTTAAAAACGGTAAGTAAAGAATGGAATCCCCTTTCAGTGATGAAATATAATTCTAACTTTGATGAAAGTGTTTATGATTCATGTTTTCAAGATCGAATAGTTAAAAACTTAGGGCACTAAGACTTTCAATATCAATATTTGTATACTTTATCATCATCGGTATTGTCTTATTTTTGTATTTATCAGGAAAACGTACTTCAATAGATTTTATACTTATTAATGATTTTACAAAACAAATGTAGTTAATTTTTTTAAATATTATAAACCTAATTGTAGAATAATAATAAAAATTTTGTTTTTAAGCAAAAAAGTTTAAATTATATTTTATAGGTCAGAAATAAATAAAAACAAATACAAAATGTATTTAAATGCTTTCAAATGTATATCATTGATTTTTTTGTTTTTAAGTAGATATTTTTATTTAAAAAAAAGAATGCTTTAGGGATAACAGTATATTTTCTCAACTAAAATTTAAGAATAAGTATACGAGTATGCTGGTTCAATTTTGATCGAAAAATGCTCAGAATTTGCAATAATCTTAGATAATTGATTGATCTAATAATGTTTATTTTTCTTAAAATAATTTTAATGATCAAGAAAATGTAAAAATCATTTTAAGATATTTTCTTTTTTATAAATATTAAATACCATATCAATAATATTTTCATGATGTTAAAATACTTATATAAAAATAAAAATATACAATTTTAAATAACTTTCATAATATATTTATAATAAATAATATAATTAAATTGGATATTAAAGCAATAATAATACATAAATACATATAATTATATTATAAATATATATTGTTTAAATTATTATTATATATAAACTGATTATGTCAAATCTTAGTGAACAATAATTTTAATAAAAGTAGAAAATGTTTCAAAGCTATATTTATTTTACCTAAAATAATATATTATCATTAAGGGCCGGATTTTATTCTTTTAAAACACTTAAAATATGATGTTAATATTCTCTAAATAAACCTTCAAATATTCTTATTATATTTTCTTAAAAAATTAGAAAATATGCTAATAATCAATAAATATCAATACATGCTTTAACATGCAATTTTTTATTATTATTTTTTTTTTACAACATTTTTAAATTAATTAGTGAGATATTATACTTGCATATTATAATGGAATAATATTACACTTAAGTAAGAGTAGGAATATTATATAAGTATAACAATAAAATATTAAAACATGAAGACAATATTCCTTTGATATATTTTAGTTATCAAAATCAAAATGATAAAAATAAAAATAAAAAATAACATTTTTTCTAGATACTGCAATACTAAAATTAATATTTTTTCTCAGAATTTTCAAAATGTTCCAAAATATGTTAAATTAGTTAAATATTCTCCAACCCATGAAATATCCTTAATCACACAAAAAAACTTTTTCCTACAATAAATAAATCTTAGAATTAAACGAATCGTCCACATGTTTTGCTCTCATGAGATGCATAGACCAAGTAACGATATGTAAATATATAAAGGATCATAATGGTCCTTAATGACCTTAATAATTATTAAACATCGATTGATGTCTGAAATTAATGTTGTTATGGGTGCTTAGTAACTATAGTGTTCCAGCACTTAATATTGACAAATTTGATTTTTGATTCGTTTAGATTAAATGTAAAATAAATTTTATGAAACGAATTTAATTTTAATGAATAGAACTAATTAATAAAACTATGATCTAGATGCACATTTTTTTCTTCAAATCAAGTCATAATATTAATGACAGATAGTATTATTAAAACCTTGTGTATTGGTTTTAGTATTTCTATCGCATATTGTATAAAAATATTGACTAGTATTAGATAAATTTGATACTTAAAGAGTGGTTTCCTATCGCGCGCTACAGTTACTAAAATTAAATTTTGTATTTAATTTATCACTTTTTTCGCGTGCACGGAGACTATCTCATAAGCATAAACGAACTCCGACGAGGAGAAACACAACTACACAAAGACGAAATCGGAAATGAGAATAACCAGGCAATAGTCGGTAGCTGTCGTGTTCTCCCACCTAGTACACCGAGACCTCGCACTACTTAAACGAATATCGATTGGAGATCGGTACGCAGGGCAACGCGACAAGCGTCTACATTTTTGGATCATATTTGATATTTCTATATTTTTGTATTATATTATTTTATCATTAGGTGAATCAATTGATTCGGTAGATAATTAAATAGACACACCACCAAAATGTACACACGGTTAGGTACAATGGGAAAATACTATTTCAGAAAATTACGCACCAACGTCATCCACCAACATGAAATGTCATTAGCAAAAGTCAAAACATGTATGGCTCACTCATTCATTACCCACATAAACATAACATAAACGTTACGATAAAATGACCAAAAATTGCGTAAGAAAAGAATATGAACTTCGCCGACAAAACGTCAAAGGTAAATGTGCTGCAATTAAAGAGGTAAATTTGCTTATTACCTTATGGTAATTTTAAAAAAGAAACCCGACCATACCGATCAGGCAAAATAAAAATTATTATCAAGACTCCTTCAAGTGCTCCCCTCCACGGAAATCTTTAGTAAAAGGCGAAAGATCTTTACGATTTGAAGGGGAACCGGAGTTGACGTGACCTGGGAGTTCGGTCGTATATATACGATCGGCCTAGTCCCGGTATCGTGCAGTAGGCTAATTTTCACACCACGTTTTTTTTCGGTAATGAACCAGTGTCCACTGTCCATAAAGTCGGCAGACATTCAGGTCGCGATTAGTGAAAAATCTTGACGTCGTCACGCGACAACGAAAATTGGCGACAGTGATTGCTCAAAAAACCTGGCGATCGCGTCGAAAATGCATCGGCAAACGACCGTGCATACAAACGCCATCTGTTGATTGTCCGACAAAGCATCGAAGCGTCGACAACGGTCGTTCGACATTATATTAAAAACGCGATCCGTACGAATCCGTCCGGATCTCCCATACATCCGTTGCAAATTTTCCGATCAGTTGAAAGTGACGTGATTGTAGTACGACTCAGTGGAAAACGCTATTGCGCGCCATATTAATATTATTATAATACCGTAAGAGGATATGCAACGATTATCTATGTCGAAACACGGGCGACGACGTAAATTCTAAACGGGTCCGTCGTTTTTTGATTTTAAAATGTGACGACATCGCAGACGGAAACCACATCGCTCGATATTACGATCACTCGACTGGCTTTCAAATTACAGCTGAATGTCTTGATAGTTAATAATAAAGTGTTTTGCAAATCATTTTTCATTGTTTCACTTGAATTACCAAAACAATGTAATGAACGTATACAAAGTGTATAATAGATATATTCAAGTATTTCTACTGATATTTAATCATTTACAATTTTACAAATTTAGAACAACTATTGTAGTATTGTAACATATTATATTATCATGCGATATGTCTACTTTGCCACTAGTTTATTTTAACTTGTTTCATTTCGTGTTATCCACAAATCTATAACGGACGCCTGTATATTTTGTTTTATCTCATATTTAGAACAATTAGACAAATTCATAATTATTTTGTCAATGACGGTAAGTTATTTTATTTCAATTTTATATACTGACTATTATTTACTTTTTCAAATACGTATTATTTTTAGTTCAAAACCGTTGTATATTATATTTTTTTTTCGTATAAATAATGTATAATGAAAAAAAATATGTATATATGCCTATTAAATACCATACAGTATACTTGTATACTTAATAATATGATATATAAATATATTATACGTTATTTTACTGACAATTTATCAGTGTAATGTGATGTAGGAATTGTTGGATCTTAGTATAAATAAGGATAGCCAACCAGGATCATCACGAGAAAGGTCTTCAGTAGTAACGAGGCGTATGACGTTGACTGACGAACAATTTATTATTGGTATTATTACAAGAATCCGGTGTAGATGATGAAGATAGTGATTTTGAAGTAAATACAAAGGAAAACGTTTCTGAAGATAATTTATTGACGGAGAAAGACATACCCGAAATAAGACATTGTATATCGGCTGAGCATTGGAGTTCTAATCCAGTACAGGTCCTGTTAATTCTGTTTATAAGAAATGCAGGGTTAAAAGTACAGCCGAAGGGACATGAGACTATCGATTATTATGATTTGCTAGTATCCAACGATTAATTACGATTTTAATTTGTCAGGTTATTATTATTATTATTTTTTGGTTATTAGATTTATTTTTGGTTGTAAACGACAATCTCAATACGTCACATTATTCCGAAATCGCATCTGCATCAGGCACATTTATAGTTACTCCAGAAAAATTTGATATTATACCATCAACTAAAATGTATCAAAATACAAAATATACATCATCATCTCATCATCAGTTAATATTTCCTAGTCCTATTAGTATTTCAACCAGTTCACCAAAAACTAAATAATAAATACAGGAATTATGTCAAATGCCATCTCCAACAATACAAAAACAAAATCAAAAAACTCGACAAAAACTAATTAGTATATGTAAAAAACAAAAAAAAAAATGTTAAACCAAAAAAGCGCAATTATCTGTGGCTTATAAAAACAAAATTTAAAAAATATACTTAAAAAACAAAAACCAAGTATAAAAATTTTAATGTAAAATATAAAATTTAAATCTCAAAATTCAAAAGCAATAGTTTCCAATTTCCATGCAAATACAAAATAAAAATAGAAAACCATGGACATCTGAAAAAAAAATAGCATTTTAAATTTATTATAAATCTCCATCGACATACAAATACATGTATAAAAATAAAATAATACTACCTGGTGAAAACACTATGACGTTGGCTACAAAGTATTAATTATTCTCTTGGTTTCCCAAATGAATACATTCAACAAGTCAAGTATAAAGTTTCATCAATGAATTATCATCAAATAAATATATAGTTTTATTAAATGAAGTTGCTTTAATGAAATGTCTGGAATTTAACAAATCGCTTGATTGTATAGAAGGCTTTCAAGATCTGGGAGAATTTGGACAATCTGCTCTACCATCTAAAAATGCCCTAGTGATAATGATCCGTAGTCTTTATCAAAATTGGAAGTTTCCTTTTGCATTTTTTTTTTGTGGATCTGGTATAAAAGGATCCGAGGTAGTAAAAATAATAACGTTATGAGTAAAAAAACTTGATGAAGTTGGTTTGATAGCAGTAAGTATAGTATGTGATCAAGAGTCACAAAACCACAGGACGTTTGATTTACTAGGAGGGACTAAAACAAACCCAGTTGTCGATATTAATGATAAACAGATATGTCTTACATACGATGTCCCGCATCTCATTAAAAGTATACGTAATGACTTGATGAACGGCGATTTTGAAATTGGCGGTAAAAAAATTTAAAGATATTGAGGATACACATGCAATTTATATGAACAGTAAAACAGCTCGTTCAATGCCCAAAATAACAAAATCCAAATACATGGCAAAAAATGTCAATTAAGTATGCAACTCAAATATTCAGTAAATCAGTTTCAGCTTCAATTCGTACATGTATCGCCACGGGAGAATGAAAATCAGGCACAGCAGGAAACACAGCAGAGTTTTAATGCAAATAAATGATACTTTTGATATTTTAAACAGCAAAAACTTGTACGACAAAAATCCTAATTCTCGGCCTTTAAGTAATGCTAACAATTATTTATTTAATACTTTAAAAAATACTCGCAACACATTTTTCAAGCTAAAAAACTCCATAAAAACAAAAATAATAATAACTCACAGCCACCGTGTTTTATAGGAATGATTTGGTCAATAAATTTGATTTTAGCTCTATATGAACGAGAAAATGCGATGTATTAAATAATTGTGATTCTGGAAATCCGTATTTCTTATTAACTAATCGATTATGTAAGGACCCATTAGAAAATCTTTTTTCAATAATGCGACAAAAAAATGAGCATAATCGAAATCCCACTTCAAGAATGTTCAGAAATCGTTATGCAAATATTTGTACATTTAATTTTATGAAATGTTCAGAGTTGTGCAATTGCGAAGATGATAATTATGTTTTTCTTACTATTGATGTTTTAACTGATATTTCCAATAATAAAGGAACAACCACCAAAGACAGTGCAGAAAAACAAGTACTCGATGAATTATTGATCTCAAAGTTAGATTTGTCTCCCACTTTGTCTCCATGTACATTGTACACAGCATATTTCAGAAAAAAACAACGATATCCACATTAGAGACATGCTCAATTATATATTTTACTAGTTATTTGGACAAATTAATAAAAAACAATAACACAATGAACGACAAAAATGAATTTTTGATACTTAACCAAATGTATGAAGGTGTTTATAATGGAGGTTTGAAGACACCCTCAGATGAAATTGTAAAAATATCTACGATGTGTCTAAAACTCTTTGAAAGTAATTGGGAGCTCATACAATTAAAAAAAGGAATTGTAAACGTATTAATGCAGTCAATCACAAGACCTAGATAAAATTGAAATTTATTTATTTATCTTGATCTATATGAATTAATACGATATTATGACGTCAACTTAAAATTAAACTATGGTTATCTAGTATCAACACTGCACTCGACACCACTACTTACATTCACTACTTAGGTACTTAACATTATTTTTTCAATATATATACAAACAGCATATTGATAATACAAGTTACTCAAATCCGCGGACTAAAATACGTCAAAACAATATACGTTCTAAACGTAATAAGAATAAGGAACTCGGCCATTCCATGACATTGTGGCGGCGTTGTGAAACGTATTCGATTAGAATTTAGAATATCCGTAACAGGAATGTATGCGATGTGAGTGATGGCTGTTGAAAAGTGGCGATCGCCGCCCGCCGGTACCGACATTGACGATGCCGATCGTACTGAAGAACGAGTAATTGCCTCCTACTGCATGCGATCCTGGTACAGCAAACTCCATTTCATCGGACGCAATTTATACGCGGCGGTTAGCATATAATGGACTGCGGCTACAAATTGTTGAACACTGTTCAATGGTCGACTCGAATTATAGCGCTTGCGCCTTTTATTTCCGGACGGACAATTGCGTGTAATATATTAAAATAATATAATATCTTTAACTGTTTTTAAACTATATGTACCTATTAAATAGATCTGCTCAGACGTTTGGTCGTTGCCACTCGCAAGTCGCATTACATTTATGAAATTTTTTTTTTTTTAAGCTTCGGCGACTAGGGCCATTAGCTGGGGGGGGGGGGGGGGGGGGGGGGGGGTTTTTTTTTTGGTTGTTGGGGGGGGGGGGGGGGGGGGGGCTTTTGGGGGGGGGGGGGGGGGTGGTACTGTAGGTTTTTTTTGATGGAACACGTGTGTGATGGTTTGGCAGAATTTCTAGTGGGCACCCGTAGGTTTCTGCCATGCCCGGGTGGGCGGCGGCGGCTTCTCTCTCCAGACACCGTGACTGCCTGAAGAGCGACGCCGCCCGTGACCGAGATTCGAACCGACGTCTTGGTCCGCTTGGCCATTTCCCCCCCCCCCCCCCATTTATGAAATTATTCTTCGCGTATAGGATTACTGTGTATGAATACTATCATAGAATTACGTAACTAGAATATTATAATAATGCGACGGGATACCTAGCTAAAAAATTTTTTTCTAGTTTGATTGACCGGGTGGAGTAAATGTTATGTTCAATTATAACTTGTGATTTGTGAAATAGGGAGGGGCTTAATGTTCGATGTCAAATAGGGAAAATATAGAGGCATAAACATAAGATTACATTTAATAAACAAGATTTTAGAAATTAAATAATGTCATATTACATAAATTCAAATTTCAATTACATTAAATAGGTGTTAAAATAAAATAAAATATACTAGGATTATCGCCAACGATTATACCACGTAGAATACAACAGTTATTGTCCGATCACTAAAGTTAACCAACGTCGGGAGACGGGCGTAGTTAGTACTAGGATGGGTGACCGCTTGGGAACACTATGTGCCGTTGACATATTTATTTTAATTTATTCCATCACAAAAAATATATGGTTATTTTCAAATAACTGACATTTTCTTCAGTAATTCTTTAATTTTTAATTAGTAAACTGATAATTGATTTATAAATATTATTTTAAATTATTAAGTTAATATATTAAGTTTATGTAATTTATATAATATATTAGTTATAAATGATGACTATTATATATTAATCTAATAAATTCAAAAATTATTATTTTAAATTCAGATATTTCACTTATATATATTATATATTATTAATGTGTTACTCAAAAATTGTGATTATTAGATCAGGGCTTAAATTTTATAGAATGTACAAATTATATCAAGAAGTAGATACTGTAGGTAATATTTGTTACATCTTAAATATGAGTTATGAGTTATGACTTATACTTAAATAAATAATTGTACATTATAGGATTGACTAACATACACAACATACATATACTTGACACCTTTTGGCAATTTTGGGTTTTCACCTCTATCCAAATTGTTATGTTTTCTTAAAATTACATGCAGCAGTTATTTAAACTTTTTAAATTATAGTTATTTAACAGTTATATTTCTATTTATAGTAATTAAAGTATGCATTACGATATACTAATAATTTTAAAGTTGTAAGTTTGATTGTCTACAACAGTCAACAATATTGATAAAAATCTGTTCTAATTGTGCTTAAATTCTTGACTAAAAAACTTATCCAGGAATGGGTAAAAACCCTTCTCTAGTTCTTGGATAGTACACCTGTTGGTACTTGGTGTTACACTGCCCATACTAAAGCGCACGTTAATATAATGAATATAATATATTCATATTGACGCATTATTTATAGCCTAGGTGTGTTATAAGCATGTAGGTATGTTGATAAATAGGTACTTACTATTTTGGAATAACAATTATTGTTTTACAATATTAAACCATACAAATAAATTTGATTTTTCTTTATTAAAAATGTATAATCCCATATATTATGTAGTTAAATATTAAAATCTCTATTCTACATTATATCATAGCCATGTACATATTAATATATTATATAATATGAATTAGTCTATGTATAATATATATATAGTATATACAATATAGGTACCTATAACAAATAGGTATAAAAAATTTTAAAGTAGAGTAAGTTGATAGTAGTAACTAGAGTTAGAATTTTAATGACCTAAAAAATACACAAAAATGCTTTAAAAAAATATGCAAAATGAACTAAAAACTCTAAAAAATTAACTTAAAAATGTACCTATAGATGAGCGAAAAAATTTTATTTTAAAATCATTTTTAATTGTTATTTATTCTGTTTTTATTTCACACAAAATAGATAGGTAAAAATTTGATTTAAGAATTAAATTAAAAAATATATTCAAATTTAAATTGACAATTAATTACCTATATTACTTTTTCAATATCAATGGACTGGAGTAGGTAATAGGGATTACCAATACAACATATATTAAAAAAAAGCTTAAAATAAACAAAAATGAGTTTTACATTATAATAAATTTACACAAAATTACAGTAATATTTGTAAAAATGACATTAAAAATGCAATAAAATACATTTGATACAAAAAATGCAAAATAAAAATTACACATTCTAAATCGTTATATAACAAATCAAATTTAGTTTTTAGTTAGAATTGTATAATACTTACAGAAAAATACAAAAATCATCAAAATCCTAGCTTTAGTGATAAGTGATAACTAATGAACAATGTATGCAATTACATACATGGAAAACGTATGCATAATATACTTTAGGTTCATCTAAAATTATAGGATTGAAGAGAACAGCATAATTATAGTGTGATATCATATATATACAAAATATAATGATTAGACACGATCAAGAATGACTAGACAATATTAGATTATTGAATATTTAATAGTATAAAATTGTCTGTTTTATGCAAAAACTGATATATTTCTTAATATTTATTGATTATAATAAATAGATATCCTTAATTTTTGTTAAATACATAAATTAATAAATATATTTAATATTAAAAAAAATTATAAAAACTTTTATGATTTTAAATTATCAATTATTGATAAATAGTGTGGTTACACCAATTTCAAATAATTAATTATGTTCTGATTTAAATAATTAATGTAAATGAAAAGTATAAAATTAAATCTTAATAGTATAGTTTAATAGTAAACAATTTTATCAAATAAGTAATTATTTCTTGATTTGAATAATTGTGGGCACCTTTTTTATTATAATGTTTGTGGTTTTACTCTATTTTTATTTCTATATATGTATCTTCTTTTCTTTACCTATGCCACTCTTTGTTAAATCAATCTCCCTTCTTATACATTTAAAAATCTTCTAGATTGACATAAGATACTAACTTTCTAAAAAATTTTTTACAGCCTATCTTTATAAATTTGCATGAAGTAATGAAGTAATTAGTTCTATTCAAACAATGATTAAAATTATATAAAAAATTATACATTCTATTCTAAAGATAATAATAATAGTGTCAATAATAATCTTAACTATATACTATCATAGTATTATACAATTTTAAACTTTAATTGAAATGAGTTACTAATCCAAATATTTTCAATGTTGCAAAGACTTAAGGCAAAAATTTTCACTTGTATGGCTTTTACTGAGGTGACCTAAATACAAGTAAAGAAAAAGAAAATAAGAGTAAGTAAAGAAGAATTTAAGTTCTAAATCATTGACCTAATCTATTTATGACAATATTATAGAGATTCCAGTTTTTGTTGATATTTTGGTGTCTATACCATACACGGTAAAATGAGACTTTATTTAATTTAACTTACCTATAAAATTATTATCAAACAATGCTTAAACTAAATCCTGAAGTAGTATAAAAGCCAATGGATCTGTAGTCTGCACATAGCTTACATTACTTATGCTTAACATGGCTCAGCATGGTTGGATAAGGTGATACCATGTTTCACGTTATTTTACTTATTGTTAGTAATTAGACTAACAGTATAAAAATGTATAATAATTGTTCATCATTTTGTTTATAATCAACATTTTTAAATTTGTTATGTAAATATAAAAAATATTGCTATTAAAATAAAAAAATTAATTAATATAATTATTTTTGAAGTGACAACCACAAATATTTTTTTCAGTTTTTTATAGTATAATTTCCAATGTAAAAACACAGTATTTTTCAAACAATTTCAGATTTAGAGCATAAAAAAAATCTTGAAAAACAAGATTAAAAAGTGAGAAATTAGATAACTATTCTGCTGTACAGAAGGAGTCAAGTGTATTATTGAATAAATAAGGTCTTTAATTTATCTGTTAAATTGGAATTCAATAATAAATCATTATATTTATAGCCTTATAGGCGATATCCAGTGTTTGGAAATAATGCTGTTCAAATGTTTATATTTATATTAGTGAAGGATACATGAAGGCTACTCATTTTTTTCAAATAGAACATGAACAATGTTTATACTTTTAATGAATTTAAAAAAAAATTATTAATTAATTAAATAAATTAAACAATTAAAAAAAAAATTGAAAGAGCGTTCAACGTTGATCAAGAATAATGAGGCATATTTCATACTTGATATACCAGATGGTATTAATTCAATATTTATTAATGTGTTTTAATTTTTATTCAGAAAAATACTTTTAATAGTTTTTATATGTTGTAAATCAACATTTTTAGCTAGGATGTAATTTAATTATTTTTTTATTATTACTCCAGATTCTCTGTGAACTTTTTTTAATTTGTTTGCTGCATTTGCCACTATTGAAATACTTTTAATAATGGTTGGATTTGAAGTTTCTAATTTTCTTATTCCTTTGACTAAAAAACAAAAATTTGGGGAAATATAATATGCTAAATGATTTTCAGGTCGTTAACTTGCATAATACAGCAGCTTATGTAGTAACAATTGTATTTGAATGAAAATTTCCAATATAATAATAGTTATTGACAATATTTCTTAAATTTTAAAAACCTATGTATAAAAATACAATATATTATGTATTTATTGGTAAAATAAAAAAGTGTTTTTATATTCACAATGTAATGAAAACCTACTGATTTTTAATCAGAATTTTATTGTGAAAACTGCATTCAATAAAATTATGCATTCACATAAAAATTCACATCCTACTATCGGTAATAGGCTAATCTTAATTAAATTGATATAAACAATAAACGGTTAATAAAAATAAAATTAAAACATTGAAATGTAAGAATTTATTTATTCAAATAATGTGAATGTAAATGTGTTACAAAAAAAAAAAAAAAAAAATGAATATTAATGAGAATTAATTTAATGTTTTAGTAAATGCTCTGAACACTGGTGATATCTTTTTTTATAATTAATCTAAATATTTTGAAAATATCAATGTGTATAGTAAATATAATAATATACATAAGTTTTGAATTACGCCTATTAGTTTATAAATTATTTATGACCAGTTTAAATCATAAATAAGTTGATACTAATAATATTTATAGAGTATTCGACTTGCATTATTAAAAATTAACCAAGTTATTCAATTTAAAATGTAAAAGTATAATTTATTGTACAAAATCAAAATTTTTGTTGAAAAAATAAGAATCTTTGACAATTTTTAATTTAGAAATTAAATTAAATTAACTTTAACAATTAGTTATTTTTGGATAGCAATACAATTTGTCTGAACACCAGCTTTTGTGATAAAGTGAACTTGTAGGCCATAAGTACTTGCTTTATTTTTAACTACTTCAAAGTCATCTGGGTTTTTGTTTAACATAACTGTTAATACATCATCCTCACCATTATAAAACTCGATTAAACGTGTATTGAATACTTCCCAAAATTCAGGAGCCAACCTTTCATTATCGTCAGCATTATTTTCATCTTTAAATGTAATTAACTCAATGTTATGATGAAATTTTTGATCTTTTTCTAATTTATAATTTTCATCATGTATTGTTTCATTTTGAGGTTCAAGTTTCAGTGCAATTTGAATCTTTTTCTTTGCTTCTGTAAAATTTTTAAGTAAGCGTAATGCTTTACCCCAGTTAAAAAATAATTTTACAGAGCGTTTAGAAAACCTTTCTGAATATTTCATTGCCTCCATACCCATACGACATACTTTATTAAAAGCACATTGCTTTAAATAGCATAAGCTTAAATTTGTATAAAATTTATTCAAATATTTCATCATTTCTATTTCTTCATTGTTATTTTTGCATCCAGCTAAATGCAGTAGTTCCAGTGCTCTGTTATACTTATATATAGCTTTTTCCATATTCTTAAGTTTAAATTGTTCATTAGCTTCAAAATGTAATTTTTTAACTTGTACAAGAGTTTTATTAAACAAGTTAGGATCACGATTTTCTCTGTCAAAGATTAAGATATTTTCAGGCGATAAAAAGGAAACAAGATGGACATCAAATAGAATAGTTGCCTTTGGTGGTATGCGAGGTGGGCATCCTAATTCTTTGTAAGCTAATTCTGGCTTTATTATAAACCTTGCGTGTTCACCCGTAGTCATTGTTTTTATACCCATTTCTAATCCTGGTATGAGTTCACCATTACCCAATGTAAATTTTTTTGGTCGTCTTCCTTGAATATATGTAACATCAAATGGTTCTTGAAGGTTTGATATATAAGCAATATAATGTATAAAAACTACATAGTTTTCAGGTACAACTTGACCAATTCCTACAAAAAAGAAAAATAATTAAAACTTATACTATTTAATCAACTAAGAATACTAAGTAAACAGAAAGAAATTCATCAGATGTTATAATTTAAAGCTTTCACCAATATAGTTTATACATATAATACATAATTTATATTAAATACTAACATAAAACGTTGAGAATTTGTTGAAAAACATAAACATTTCAAAAATTATAAAATGAAATTTTAAATAGGTGTAATAAAGTAGCGCACTTAAGCACCAATAATTTTTCATTTATTAAATTTAAAGTATGAAATGTATATGTTATGGGCAAAGTGGAAAATTCGAGGTATATGGGGCAATATAAATTGTGAAGTATGTATACAAAATAATCTGCATAATATATTATGTTTTTATTGCAAATTATTAATATTACATAATATAATATATTAATATTATTTTTTTTCTTATAAAATATAAATAGTTATATGTTACGTCTATCCTTTGGTTAAACACTAATGACATTTTGTGAATGCACTATATATCCCGATAATGAAACCAATAAATATTTTATCTCATATAATTTTGGTACGTACAGTTTTACTTTAGTTGTAGTATACTGTCACTCAGTTTATATTGTGCAGTGCTTAAACAAACTTTATTTATTTTCTACATTTTATTTAAAATGGAAAAATTTAATGCAAAATTGAATATTGTGTTAAATGAAAAAAATGTAAATAATGTGTATTTAACCAAATTAAAATACGACAAATTAATTGAACATATAATTAATATAAAGAATAGTTCCCAAAAGTTAAAGCCAAATGATTATAAACTCTTGAAGAAATATGATGTAATAAAAATATCTGAAATTAACAAACTAATTGTTCCAGTAACTGCAGGTAATAATAAAAAAAATATATATTTAAAAAAAAAAAAACAATATATTACTGCAGTTTTATTATAGATACCTTTATTGTTTTTATAATATATTATCATTGATTATTTATTAAATTATTATATTATTATATTATTAAATATTTATAATAAACAGCAAATAGACTATATGTACATGTACATCAAAATGCCATTCAAGCAGTACATGTGAAAATAAATAATTTAATTGAATTGAATTTTTATTTTAATTAATTAATATAAATAGTATAATAGTATAAGTATAATAAATAGTATAATTAGTAAAAAAAAAATTAAAATTATTTGAAATAAATTAGTATAAATAAAAATAATAATAATATAAAAATTAATTAATTATTAATTATGTAATTGTTAGAATAAATGTACTTCACAATATTTTAAATGTATAATTTAAGCTAATTTATCATTTGATGATTATTAATTATGTATAATAATGTAATATTAATAATTTGCAATAAAAAATTATTTTGTATAAATACTTCACAATTTATATTGCCCAATATACCTCGGACATACATTGTCCGAATTTTCCACTTTTCCCGTAACATATATACCACATAAATGTTTGTTTTTGATGAGTAATTAAAATGTAAAAGTATATATTAACCTTGTTCCTGTAATATTTTTAACACCTTGCGATCGCCAGTTAGATCTTGGTAGTTTTCATCAGTAATGAGGTGGTTAAAAGCTTCCACATCGTCATTTTCTTCTCCAATCATATCGAAGTTAATAAATTCTGCCAGCTCGTCTGAGTTATAAAAAAACTTATCATTAACATCTTCGTTGGTTGAGTTATCCACCGTAAAATAACATCCGTCCTGTTTGCTCAGTATTTCTTTCGAAGCGGTCTCCAGTATACTGAGTACATTGGGCGGAAACTCGTCAGTTTCGTCAGCCATTTAAAACGATTCGAATAGAATGCGATGTTGTTATAATGTTAAGTATATGATCGAAGAAACAAGCTAATAAAATATTACACGTTATATTGATAACAATAAACAATAATCATGCACCTAATAAATGATCGACTTTAAAATGATACAAGACGATTCATGTCTGTTAGTAGTGTTACTTCAAATACTATAAATTTGGTTACTTATAGCATTGATTATAAATACAATAGATCGCTCACTGCCCGTATAAAAAATCGGTAGCCACTTCCGTTTCAGTTACATTGCTTATTTAAGGAGTATATTGTGAAAATGCCAATCAAATAACTGGATTAAATTTTCAGTACCTATCTAAACTTATACTTTTGAATAACTCATCTTTATTAAATCGTTTGAGCATAAATCGTTATCGTTACGCATTTCTAAAATGTGAATATTCAAAAATGCGTAACGTTCTGTTTGATTTAACTTTATCATATGACCTTTACTTATGAACGGTTTGTCAATCTGGTCGTTCATTAAATAATAATATAATATAAGGAGTATTACTCTATATGTATATTCTATTTGACAGATTATTAGTATTTTTCAATAATAACTTGTAGAAGTTCAGTTGGGTCTTGTGAAAATAAATGGTGCTTCAATACTTGTTGTAGTTATAGATTTCAAAAGTACTGTCTCAAAATTTTCCGTTAACATTGCTAAATATTACTGGTATAGCAATATAATAGAAAAATACCTTGATGATTTTCGTATCAAATTCAATACACGACAAACTTTTACGAGTAACAGGGCGTGTTATCTCAATTTGAAGTATAGACCGATGAACTGATGTCTAAGAAGTTACAGTAATAATCATCATCGCAAAATATAAATCCACGTTATGATTCGATAAAACTTACTTCAGAAGTATATAGTATTGCCACCCACGGAACAGCATTTGGTCTAATGTGCTTGCTGTTTTGGTTCATACATGTTTGTTCAAAGTGTCACACATATCCCGCTGCCAGGAAACGTTTGAACCCTAGACGAGTCCAAAACATATGTTCACATTTCAATAAAATATATTACACTGAATTGCTGTATATTTTAGATAAATTATAACACTCTTCCTCCATGAATAGAATAGAATATAATATTATGGATAGCAATTGATATAATAGTTTATTACTTGCCAGTAAATAGATACCGCTAAAAATGATAACATATAAATATAATGTCACTCACCCGAAATGTATAATCATGTTTTCATATTTTGCTGCTATTTTGGAAATGAGTGAAGTTTAAATTTGGATAATTGGTTTATTTTAAATTGTAAAAGCACTTAGCTATAGTCGATATTTATAAAAATTTAACAACAAATATAAATAAAGTTTGTAATAACTCACTGATCTATTGTGGGACTCTGATAAATGACAATATAATGTGATGACTAACTGCCGATATGCAATACATACAAGTATTTAGATGTGGTTTCATCCAGTAACATTATTTTATTTTCAATAATAGGAAAGTAACTTATCAAAATAAACACCGTGAATCCACATTTAGTTTTACTTAGTCTATTTAAAATAGCACTGAATATGTGATGTTGACCAGTATAATCCCGACATACGATTTATTGCATAGAACATAAATTAATTCATGTATCGTATCATAATATTTTCAAAAATAATTTTTGATTTATTTCAATATATTCCATAGAAGCAAAAATTGTTTGTCTATTATCAGCCTATTGGACCTATAAACTAACAGTTTTACTGAGTTAAAATCATAGTTATTACGTCGTTACTCTGATAAGTTGTTATAATAATAGTTAAAATATTAAAGATGCATTTGTTTGGCAAAATTAATTCAACCTACTGGATACTAGGTATATTGCTTTATAGCAATAATATTATAAATACACTTAAGTGTATTAGTATAAAAATAGTGGTTATGCTCAGATCTGTTTTCGTATCCTAGTATAATTTTATGTCATTGAATTAAATTTAACATCCAGTCAGTGTATGACACACTAATGAACAACATAAAAACGTATGTTCATGTGCCGGAGTTAGTTTTAGTTTTACTCGTAATAATCATCAGTCAATAGTATGGGCCTCAGGTGCGGGAGAACCATATTTTGCACATATGCTAATGTTTGTATACCTATTACAGTAACTAACCTACTAGCATTTTATATATTATAATATACACCTTGCCCCAGTTAAATTTCTGCGGGGCACCCTTGGTCAATAGTCATTACTAGAGCGCAGATTTGTAAGCACTAAAAGTATCAAAATATGCTATAATATAATATAATACGTAGTAAAATAGTAAAATCATGAAAATATACAAGAACTTCTTTTTATTTAAAATTTACAAATTAATTAATAATAGTAACAAATGATTAATTACTAAATACTTATAAAAATTTGAGTTTTCTGAACAACCTAATGGATTTTTACATTTATCATTATTTCAGTTATTATTTAATGCCAACGAAATTATTTTAATATTTCTACTTGACAAAATATTATTTTATACATTTTTAATTTTAAGCTTAAATGTGCAATACATTTCGAATTTTGTAAAAATATGCAATAACCATTCAATATGCAGAAAAATGTAAAAATGTTTAGTATCTAGCTATATGTTCATGAAGATTACTGACAAAATTCAAAAATGTGAAAGGAAAATAATAGTAGCAGAATCCTAGGCCCGCCAATCATTAGGTAATCTACACTTGAGATCTTAGGCAGACGTAAAATTTAATCTCAAATCTGCCGCCTTAAGCACAACGCGACTGTAGCGATCTCGTCAGTCTAGAACCACTTCTTAAAAGCCTCTACAACGGCATCCAATTTCCGCGCGGTATTGCCT